ACGATAGAGAGATATGGCATTGTGGATGAGGATATCTCCAACTTTGATAAGACCGGCTTTCAAATGGGGGTTATATCAACAGCCAAGGGTGGTGACGGAGTCTGAGAAACATGGCAGGCCAGCGCTTTTACAGCCAGGAAATTGAGAATGGGCGCCTGTTATTGAGGAAGTCAACTCAAGTGGCTAAGAGATGCCAGCTGGCATGCACAGTGCTGCTCTCTTAGGAAAGGAAAATAAGGTAGCTAAGAGCTGCAGTTGAGAAGAAAAAGTGCAAGAAGAAGCAAGCTCATACGTTTATCGCTCAGAATGGAGCTTTAACAGCTGAGGAAGGAATAGCTAGCTAAGGCTCAAGCAATTGATCAAACTGTACAAAGGCCGCCACGCTGCAGCAATGTAATATAGAAAATGATCCATTACGTTAGTAGTTACTAGGAAGATTTTATTTTTAAATCAAACATGTTAACATTTTGTTATATTTATATTTATATTTATATAGAATATGAGTAGAGACTTTCTATAAAATAGCTATATAACTTATGATTCTGAGAATCAGTGATTTATAATGTAACAGAGTTAATGGAATATATCTCTTAAATCTTTATACGTTAATAAAAGTATCTTTGATTAAGATAGACATCATCTTCTGCCGTAGTCATATTGCTCATTTAACAAATTAGTCAAGCTCACTCACACAGCTTTTCAACATCATCAATCTACATGACATCGTCACAGAGACACTGCTGCACTGCTATGTTACAGTTCACAACAGGTTTGCACTTCTATGTTCTGCACCACTGCATGAGCCAGCCACCAACCTCCACATCCAATCTCCTGTTATACCAAGCAAATGTGAGCTCCCACTCTGATTGGCGTAGTGAGCTTGGCAATTGCTTGATTTTTTAGGGACGGGAAAACGCTGACATGGTTATGGAGAACGGAACAGCGAATGCTAGGGTTTTTGTTTTTGTTTTTATTTTTATTTTTATTGTTTTTATTTTTCAACATATGGATTGGCTTTCAGAAGAAATATCCAGATCAAAAGTTTTCCCTATCTGGGCCACCAAACTAGCTGTATGTTTCCTTGCCGAATCCTATATCAAGATATATAGGTACAAGAGGCAGATGAGAACGTAAAGTCTCAAGGGATTTCGACATTTATATGCACAGATAATCTGAAGTGCAGATATCAAAACAAATGTGGAATCGTGTCTGAAATCATCCAAAGGAAACGGAAAATAGTCGGTTGGCAGGGGGGTATAAAATTTAGAATTGAAATCAAAATCAAGATCAAACTCCTGCAGGTCACAACAAGCAGAGACGGATAAACAAACTGCACCAAATGATAATCACTATCCAAGCAATCATTACAGGTTTCATCATTCAGGAACATTCAACTTCAGGAAAGGGGTGCTCTGGGGTTGAACAAATATGAGACTAGAGGAACTAGGAATTTGTAAGGAACAAAGAAGCAGCTCAATGAAGAGAACAAGATAAAAGACAGGAGAAGAATGAACAACATTGGTTTGAAAGAAACATTATATGAACGTGAGGGGAAAATTTGGAACGCTTCCTATATCCATGTCCACATGCATATTCCTTAACCATATACTTTATCAATCCAACAAAACCTGATCCAACACAGGGTTACGTTTCGCTGTTTCGTTGTCCATTTTACAAGCCTTTCTAATCAGAAGTAGGCATCGCCTCGACTTCCACGCACAGAGAACGCCAGTTGTCTGCTTGTAGCTCTGCGTACTTCACTCTCTCCTGACTCCAATCCTGATGCAGTCGACTAACATGGTATTGGCTCATCTGGAAGTACAGCAGCTCATCACGGATACATTCCTTAATGAATACACCCCTGGCGTGTTGTTGGACGATAGATTTCTTGTCCTACAGGAAAGAAATAATCCATATTAGTTAACAGATTAAGTTCCTCCTAGTCGATAGGGAATGAGTGAGGGAATGAATTGGGCAACTCCAGCCAGCATTTTCATACCTTGATAATTGAATCTTCCACCTTCTCGACCTCCCCGGGCTTAACCGTCCCTTCAGGCCTACTTCGCAAATTCTGTAATTTCCTCTCATTGCTCTCAATCCGCCGCTCGAGTTGTGGAATATTGTCCTTGGCATAGCGGTCCCTTCGATCAAAGAGGTCGCGCATAGCCACGTAGCAATCTCGTTGCATCTTGAAATCTTCCAGGACCCCGTCGTTCCACGCCTTAGCCTCATCATCCAGCAATCCCTGGCTGGCGATAAGGTGCTTAGCGGTGGAGTTTATGCCGTTGTTCAACAGCGGCACATAGTTTGTGTCAACTGCGTAAGTGTCCGATGTACAATCGGTTAGAGCTTGCAGGGCCCTGGAAATTCGGAATTGGTCCGCAGCAAGGCCTTGAGTGCGTTTGACAAGACGGTCAAGCAAATTACAGAGGTTGATGTAAATTTCAGCTGAACGCTTGATACCGAAGTGAACTCTATCGAAAGTTCCGTCCAAGGTCTGAGGGAGGGAGTCTTCGAGGTCTGGAGGAAGTAATTTTCCTGTAAATTCTTCCTGGACGGAAATGGTAGCCTGTTTTCGCCAGACAGATAATTCCTAATTTCATTTTAGTTTTAGCACTAACACGAAGGCAGGGTAAATGAATGTATTGTTTTCATTTTGCGATACATACAGTCGGAACGGTCAGAAACATCACTACCAGCTGTTCCTGGGTCAATACCGGATGGCGAACAAGGGAATTTGCGAATCGAACTAAACCCTTCCGTCTCTTGTCGAGAAAGGAGTTTGAATCCGCTGCGAGGTGAGTGCCATTGACTTGTTAAAACCAATTTGTGAGTATATTTTAAGCTTGAAGTCAAGCTTTCAACGTACCTGCGACTCGCTTTGGAGGGAGTAGTGGTATCTGGCGAAACGGATACCTTTTTTGCAGACAGTCCACCAACCATACGAAATCGCTATATCTCCGGATTACAGAGCTTCCTCTCCGCGAAGATTTGACCTCGTAGTTTCGGTGTTGGAATAGGAACATGCCCTCCTTTTCAGGCAACATGTTGATTGTTATCACTTCGTCCACCCCTGGCGAGGTTACCCTACCGCCGCCAATGGATCTAGATACATTATTATTGGAATTAGGATTTCCTTGGTCGTCCCCTGGCTGGACAAATCCGGCACCCATCGCTGAGTGTCCCGCGCCTCCGAATCCGGCACCCGATGGGTTAGAAACGCCTTCCTCCCAGCCAGATCCGACACTCACTGGAGTATTTTCGCTGGGTTGTTCGGAATGCTCGCCCCCATTCTGCGAGTCAGGTTGACCACTGTACCCACCTGAAGTTTTGTGAGAAAAACCATTCGTTGGGGGATGTGCGGCCGCGTCAAATTCATTAACTCCAGCATTAGGTCCAGTATCATTTTCAATGGAATGATTGTGGCCACGATGGAGTCCCGGGCTTCCCCAGGGATCGGAATCCCCAGGGGATTCCTGGGTCATCCGTCGCGGGGGAGATCTCTTTGGGGTATGTGGTTCGTTGGTGGTTTGTCCAATTCCACCACCGTTTCGGGATCTCAATTCGTCGACATAAGGTATGTTAGGTCGCGGGAGTTCTAAAATTTAGGCACCAAATGTATCGGCATAAATTCCCTCGAAGCCGCAAGTAGTCAAAATACCGGAATTACTAAGGAAACGGAAGCTAACACTTACTCTTCCGTCTCTCGTCAATGGTATCGAACGTAAGATCTTCACCCTCCTGAGCCAAACCTATCAGAGCAAGCAAAACATTGAATTCACCTCTCCCCAATCCATTTGGGGGATCGCGGCCACCAGGAACCACCATATTAAGAATCGTAGCCTGTTCCTCGGAGCTCAAGCTGGAATCTCGCAAGACTTTCCTTGCTCCTTCAACAGCGATGCCAGCACCAAACTTATCTCCCGAGTCTAACACGGCATCATAGGCATCAATATAGCTTTCTGGAACCTCTGAGGCCGGTAGTAGCATCTTCACAAGCTCGTGGCGCGCAGCCCTTTTCGGGTTAGTCGAGTTCCATGGTGAGGAAACTCCAGGGGTATCGTCCGCGAAAAGGGAGGACGATGAGGGTTGACCAAAGGCTGGCTGATCAGAAAACAAAGAGGACTTGGATTGCGAGACTGCATAGGTCTTGGCCGCAGGATTATCATCGGGGGAAGTGCCGAATAGAGACATGGTGAAGTGTGGAGAGATGACAGTGATTGTTTATTTGGGGGAGGGGGGCGTTTGTTCGGGCTTGATTTACCGCTACTCAGGCCACACTGGGGTGGTAGAGCTGCGCTAGGGCAGCGGGGAGAAGGGCAAGTGTATGTATACTCACTACTAGCCCAGTAGCAATGAAGAATAGTGAACGCTTCAAGCGGGCATATGCTGATGATGGAAAGGCTGAGTATATCCCCTAGGAACCGCGCAATTGGAGAACGGGCGGCTCGGCACTAGTGGGATTCGGCGGCAGGGCTAAGCGCCGTCACGGGATTTGGCAGTTCTGCTGAAGGTCATTCCCCCTCAATTAACCATGACGAGCAGTTTATAGAGGTAGGATATATACATTAGTTATATTAACATTACCCTTCTGCAATCTTCTCAACAAGGGCAAGTGTTGACGTACAGAATAATCACGTGTTGCTTAACTACGTCATTTTGCAGCATTAACCACTAAACCCGGCTCGAACCACCGATATATATCTACATGTATGACTTTCCCACGCTCAGTGAAACCCAAAGATTACTCGTAAAGAACAGACCGATGATCCACATGATAAAACTTAGTCCCATTAAACGGGTTTACCTTTACTACAGCACATCGGGAATATATACATATTCTCACATTGATTGAGAAGCGCAAAAAAAGAAAAAAAAATTGGACAAATGGCCAAAGGTTCTAATTAACTACAGAGCAAAACCATAGCCTCACTTTTATCCCGCACAACGTACAACGCCGATGTAAATGACATGAGTTTATATAGTCCAATGTCTTTAAATCATATACCTTCCTCACTGGAGCTCCCAGATTCGTCCTCATCCACAGATCCTTTCCCAGAGCTATCACCCCCCACTCCTCTTTCCCCACCCAACCTCTGGAGCTCCTGTCCCAGCACATCTTGCCATCCAGCACCGCCCGTAGCCAGCACGCTCTTGGGATTGAATTTCCCTGAAAACCACCTCTCCTTCCGTATGCTTGCTTTATCCCCACCGTCAAATGCCGCTCGACTTGCCCTCGTAGTCCGATATCGCTTGTTCCCAACTGAGTCTTGAGAAATGAGCCCGCTAAGAGCTAGCCGCTGTTGTTCAAGACGCAAATCGCAGGCGACAATGGTTCGAATATACGGTGCGAGGTCTTCGGAAATTGGAGCTATGCAGTTGTCAAATGAAAACGACTGACGACCGGATGACTGGTTGAAGGGGTCTGGATTATCCGTTATTGGTTCCAAGATATCACGTAATTCGAATCGATTGAAGTATACAAGTTTTTTGGGGGAGAATTTCTCCAGAGCTTGTTGGATGACGGCTTCTTCGTCTGTGGATGATGATTTATTAAAGCAGGTTTCCAGCAAAACGCTTATTGAGACACCAATCTTCATTGGTAGACGTGCGTAGTCGATTAGAGGGTCAGTTTGTAATAATTGGTAGCCTTCCGTATACGTGGAGCGCTGTTTTCCGGTCATTTCAGGCCAAGAAGGGTCAAAAACATCCTGTGTAAGTCGTTAGCATTGTTGTATTTATATGTTCGACAATGATAACATACTTGTGTCAGCTCCTCAGGTGAACACCGGCAAATAATATCCAAGTTACCCCTCATATCAGCCTCTTCACTTTCCTGAGCCAGCGCTTCTAGAGGACTCTGACCGTCATGACCCAATGACACGTCTCGCAACATTTTCGATTCATGCCAATCCATAAGACCCATATGCCATTGTTCCAAACACTCAAGCATAAGCTGACTCCTTCTTTCATCAGGATCAACTTCATCACACGCGATGTCATGACCGACCAAGCCCATACCGTGAACATACGTGTCCGTGCTTACGACTTTTGGAAAATCGGCTTCCTTCTCATGTTCATCACATAAAAGGGGTCGCTTAGCCAACCAGTCTAATCCTGCCTTCTTGCTTCCAACAGCCATCTGGCACCAGAAATCCATCTGCATGATCGTCGCGCGAAGATCGCGACGCGTGACAGTATACAGTTCCGATAATCGTTCTCGGTCCAGAATATGTCCTTCGTTGGCCGCTAGGAGGAAAAGGTAATCAGCAGCAAGGTCGCATGGACTCTGGCGAAATCGGAGAATGGCGTGAAGTTTTAGCTGTTCAAGGGGAAGAAGACGTTCATCATTACAGGTCATAATAATCGGTCTCTTTGACTGGCTGATTAGTGCTAAAACACCGCTCCAGAATTGCTTGTCTTCTTCGAAGAGGATGTCGACTTCCTCGAGGAGTATGAGGGACTGTTTCTGGCTTGGTTGGGATTTGAGCACTGATTCACTTCCACACAGGGAAGTGCCGGCAGCGGCGTCTGTTCTCTTTTTGTCTACAGGATTTGTTCTTGACTTAAAAAAGCCTTTCATATTGACTGGCTTTTTGTTCTCATTACTGGTGGTGGAAAACATTGACTTTAGTGAAGAAGCAGCTGCGGAAGTTTTGTTAACCTTCCCAGGAAGCTGAACAAGATGATTCTGGGTCATGTCTCCAACACGCTCGACGACATCTTTTGCATTTCTGCGACTTCCGGCATTTATCTCAAAAATCTCAAATCCAAGCTCTTTGGCCACAGCGTACACAGCAGCGGTTTTGCCGCAACCAGAGGGTCCACTGATAAGTATCGAATTAGCTACTGACCGCTTTTCTGGTGCAGATTTGCTGTCTGTAGTCAGAGTGTCCGATCGAACAACAGTTCTTTTACTGGATATAGTAACTCCACCAGCCAACTCATCCTCGTGGTCAGGAGCGTCAATTTCATCCATTTGAGACTCATCATCACTAGAAACAACAAACTTATCTAGATCTCTCGGCCTTTTTCGTTTCTTCTTCCTTTTTGTACTTTCATCCGGTGTCTGCTTCGACTGCTTTCCATCACTCCCAACAGCGCCAGTGTGCACTGTCGAAACGATGAGATTTTGAAGCCACTTTCTTAGAAGTAGAGCTTCAGTGCCTAGCTGAAGCACGGAGTCCGCACCATTTGGAGCATACTTGTGAGTCCACGGGATGTCATCGAACTCGCCCCGATCGAAAGCAGTGGTTGATGATCGTATAGAGGAAAGTAGTTGGGCCACCGCAGGGTGGGATGTGTACGGCGATCTGGCTCGCCGACAAGGAAAATTTTCACCAATAGTTTGCGCAGTCGCAAGAGATAAACCAAATCGATTCATTACTGTTTCGAAGAAGCTGCCGCGACTACAAGTTCTTTTGCCTGGGTGTCTCAATATTTTCTTCATTAAAAGGCGCCTCGTGGCTTGTAGCATTAATCGTGATTGAACTGAAAGAATGTTTTCACATTCAGGTATGGTGGTAGGTAAGCCTTTGGCTTTTCGTTCTTCAAAATCCAGGAACGAACCAATGGTCTTGTTGCTCGATGGAAGCCCACGGATATGGACAGCTTCACGCGGTGGCCAAATAGGATCTATAGGATCCGAATATTTTGGATGGTGCGAACGCACTCCAGAAGTTACGGCTTGTGAATTATCCATTCGGTGGGGTTGATTAGCAATAGCTGGTTGAACTTCCCGATCCCCTCTAGGATGTATTGGAAACGGAGACTTTCTTTGCACACCTTTTTCTTCGGATTTCTGAGTGGGCTTACTCATGAAAAAAGGGTGAGTCGGTTTTGTAGGTCGTGGGGGGTGAGGGTTAGGGATTGCAATGGCCGGCACCTCCTTCACAACAGGATATCGTTTTTGACCACAAATTATTTCCTTTATTAACTGGCCCAGAAAGGGCCGAGACTCCTTTTTGGCTCCGTATTTCAAAACTACTACCAGAGATTGCCCTTCATCTCGTTTGTGTCGCGCTGACTTCCTTCTGCCGAGTTCTTCTGGACCTGGACCTTCATTTTTTGGTCGATCGGGAGAGCTCAACAATTTGCCGTTTGGGTTTAATTTTAAGGTTTTGACCGGAGGACCATCGGATCTCGTGATAGTCGCGACAGGTTTTAGGTATGGCTGGGATGATTCTGGTAAAGATGAAGAAACCAAATTCCGCGAATCCTTTTGAACTAAACACTTTTGTTCTGGTATGTCAGGCTCGCTGCGAGTTGAACTCTCGAGCTGTATGCCCAAAGCGGGGATGGGATTATCCTTAATGAGAAGTCGTCGTAGTGGGCCAATGGCTGTCACCTGTCCAGCAGGATCTTGTGTCCCCGTTTTTCGTCTTTTTTTCCGACTGGAATTTGCATCCCCTTCCTTCGACAGCGAAGACTCAAGGTTCCACAGTTTGTGTTCGGGCTGGAGTTGCAATGCTGCATTCCGTTTCCTGTTGCTACAAGATAGAATTCGTCCGCCATTGTGATTGGGGCTATCAGAACCAGATGAAGGATTCACAGATATGTCAGCAACATAGTCTTTAGCTGTCGCTGCATCTATGGGCCCTTCGGGCTGTAAAGGTTGAGGTTCGGACGAAATGAGGTTGTTGTCAGTGGGGCCTTTGCAGATGTCAGTATGTGCTTCATCTGCAAGACCGCAAAACCTACCAACCTTTCCCAAAAAACGGGTGCAAGGTCCGCTGGTCATGCTGTCCCATGACCGTTTTCAGAGCAATATCAGCCATTCAATTTCCTTGACCGTTCACGCATTATGAAGGATGTAACCATCAAGAGAGGGAGGGGCGAATGGGTTTGACAAATTTACATATCTTGGGGAGAGAGCATAGATTTGGTAAAAGACAAATGGTAGAATCAACGCCTGAAAAGCAAAAGTGAAAACCAAATCGGGGACACTCGGCCGTTAAAGATGGATATAGAAAGCCGGTTGATGTTGAGATTGTTGAAGAGTCGTCGTGAGAATCTTTTCGATCGTCGCGTGCAGCCAAACCCGTTGGAAAGTGACGCGTTTGCCAAATGACGTCTGTATTCGGCTAGCGCGTAATTCTTAAGGGAAAATATTACTCCGATAGCCGCCCGAAGCGCCAAACTCTAAAAAAGTTAAGAGGTTGATTGATATTTTCGGCGTTGAAAGAAACCATCATATCATATCTGAACAGGCCCAGTTGCGTTTCAGCCAGAAACGTGACTTTATTTTTTTTTTTTTTTTTGGGCAAGATGGAGCTACATGCGCCGTCTGTCCTGGCCCAATTACCACTCCCATTGGAAACTTCGGCTGGTAAATGCCAGTTGGGCGAGGTTTATGGAGTGGACGGTCCCAAGAAAAGGAAACGACATGAGGTTACGGCTGCTATTGACGGGGAGAGTGTGAACATCTACAATGTATGAGCCCACATTTCTGCCCATTTTATCTTTCCTGGTACCATCTCTGACCGTTTCTCCCAGGTTCAATTTCCGAAACTAGTCACCTCCTACGCAATCCCGCCGCAATCATCGTTCTCGTGTCCACCGCTGTCTGTGCGGCAAAAATCAACTCAGAAAAACGCAGCCGCAAGAAGACATACTTATTGTGCTATAGAGCAACCGGAGAACCAAATCCAGTGCTTCTTGGACGAGTCTACTACCGGCACCCACAATACACTCAACATTTCCAACTCATCCTTCAAGCTGAAAGAATCCCTAAGCCCTGTCGTCTTTCTTAATATCATTCCTGCGGTTTCGGAAGCAGGGAAACAGCAGGACCCCTTCGATATCCTTTTAGTACATAGAGATGGACGAGCGCGCAGGCTATCTCCGGACCTCCAGACTCAGAAGTGGAATGTCTTGCCAGACCTTGCGATTGAACAGCCCGCCATGTATGAAATCCAAACTGGTTTTCTTGTTAGTTTCGAGGATGCTCGTAAATCTCTGTTTAAGGAAAGACAGGACATAGTAGCAACAGTGCTAGGGGATGAGATTGGGACAGAGTCAGCCGCTTCATCTGTGTTAGTGCTTGTTTCCAGGCCAAGTGGCCAAGAGAAATTACTTCCCAGTGACATCAAAGTCATCGTGTTTTGTATACCAACTCGCACTGCTGAAGACGATTTCTCGACAAGCCAGTCAAAACGATTACGGCATCTCATGACTATTAGCCTTCCGGATTTGGAAGACCACAAACTGTCTTTTGGAACACAGTCCCACCAATGGAACTTTTACCCTGCCAGCAGTAGTCTCTTATTGTCTTTTGAAAACGGGTTCATTAATTATGATATATCTCAATACTCACCAGATATATCATCTCATATGATTCTTCCTGACGAACATTTCTCTTCCATCATGCGAATATCCTCGCAGTCTGTCATTGGCGCCCGTAAATCGTCTGTCGCTATTTATAACCCTCGATATCAATCGATTCAAGGAGATTTTTCGTTAGATGATATTTCTCCTGTAGGAACGACAAAATCAGATGCTGATAAGGGGGACCCGATTGTGTTTATTTCATACTTCGCGAAACTTGGAATTGCCGTTGCTACGCGAGGGGAGACACTTCTAGGATTTGACCTAGCGTCATCCCATGATGCGTCTCTAAAACAGGCCAGCGACGGTCTTTTGATCAATGCAATTGGGAAAGGAATCCAATCACCAGAATATACCGCGCGGATAGCGATGGACAAACCAGTGGACAACATGCAGCAGGTGGGACTTTCAGAGCCGCATGAGGTTGCAGAGTGGACTTCATTAAACAAGAAACTTGATGCGCTGGTGAAAGATAAAGACCCTGGAAAGTTTGACAGAACTATACAAAAGGCATTAAGTGAGATGTCAACAGCAGGAGGAGATGGAAAATCCAGACATTTACGGGGATCAACGGTATTTGTGGATCCGGAAAAGATATATTTCCTTCTCGGAAAGATATTTTCTTTGAGGACAACAACCACTGAGCCAAAGGCATCGAAGCTGGTCGTCTCTTTCCTGCCATCTAAAACATTTAAGTGGCTTATAAGCTCTCATCACCTCAGTTTGAGCAATATTCAAACTGCTCTTTGCCATTCGATGCACCCGAAAATACCGCCTCCAATCCCCAGTGGCTCATTAGTTCGGGCACTCTCTGAACAGTCACTCCAGTTATTACTGCAGGTATTACGAGGCCCAATAAACTTTGAAGCAGCTGAACTCACCCATGCACTGAAAATCTTGCTGGACGTCGCCCGCTCCCGTCAACAGAGACCAGAAGAGGAACTACCAAAAACCATCACCGAATCTCCACACCCAACCAAAGAAAGCATCGCGCAAGGGATAACACAAGGACACCATAACACATCCTCCACTACCAGCAACGGCCCCGACACCATCACAGATGCCATCACCGGCCTCAACTTAACTCTCACAAAGCTCCACTTCCACCCTCTCGACAAAGTAACGCAATCTATCCGCTCCGTTCTCTCCAACTCTGACACACTCTCCATCATCCACCATCTTCGTCACTCCCTCGCCACAGGCGGCTACACCTCACCATTCGTGGAACAATCGACGACTCCCCTTCCCTCTGACCCTAAAATCCCCACCCTCGACCTGTCAACTATGGTTGATCTGCTAACCGCCTGCATCGACGCCATCGGCCCCAGCGGCTGGATCTCGGCCGCTGCTTTCGCTGGCGGAGAAGATAGCGAAGCATGCCTAATTGCAGACATGAAGTCCGAGATCTCAGCTGCATTGGTTGGTGTCGAGGAGGCGACGTATCTGAAGGGAATATTGCGGGAATTCGTCAGATATGCTGAAACAGCCATTGCCACCAATGCTAATAATAGCAATGTCTACAACCGCAGCCGGAACAGCAAACATAGTCCAGTCCAAGGGGCTACATTAGGAGGGCCTCTTGGCAGTCGCCTAAAGCGCAAGGAACGCCATAACGGTGCTGACATTCTCATATATGACATGGAGAATATCAACGGTATAAACGGTGCACTCAATAGCGACAAACAAATGCTTCCTCTTTCTCTTAAGCGAGTGGCAATTGGTGGAGAGATGAATCAAGATGTCGGTGGCGCTGCGGCTAATGGTGTTATGGTTGGTGAAGACGTGAGCAGGAGTAAGATCCGGAGGACGACAGGTGAGGTTGTGCAGAGGAGTAAACGAGAACTAGGTTATTTGAGGCGAAAGGCGGTGGGGAAGTATTCATTTGAGAAGATTGTCGTATAGTTGCTAGGTGAGTAGACATAGCTGCAAGTTATTCGGGAGGGTAGAGGTTAGATAAACGAGATTTGATTACATCAAGAAAAATACTCAGCGGATCAATCAACACTCAAGTCGCGTGTTTAATTTCTGGTTATTGTTGACAGAAACATTTATCTATGTACACATAAGACTGAATATCAATGGCATGTTGTTCTCAATGATTTTTGGCGTTTCGATTTTTAATTCTCCTTGCTTCTGATCTTTTACACAATCATGCGGCTTGATTCGATTTCCTCAAACACATATAATGAACTGGCTGATACAGAGCGGGCACCACCAGAATTTTGCTTCTGCTTTCTTCTCTAAGCAAGACTTAGCCATTATTTACTGTTCATTTCGTACTGCTAGAGTGCATATTTCGTTTTGTTAATATCCAACCATATCCCAATTCATTTAGAGATTTAAAGACGAGAGGAAATGCACAACAATAGCTCGGCATAATTTGAATTTCCTGAAAATGTCTTGGACAGGGGTATATATGAGGCGTTTGCCTGATAAAGAAACTCGAGAAACTTCGTACATATTCTGAGGAATGGCCGTGGTCATCTCCCGCACGGCCCGGAAATGGGTAAAGGACATCAACTTGCATGTATATCAGCGGGGAAAAACAGTCATAAGGATGGCAAGAAGAAACTAAATCAAAATAGTCTAAAGCTTAGAAGTGGCAAGCTGAGGATGAAATCAGTTCACTCACAACACAGCCCCAGCAGACGAGGTAGCGATTGCATTAAGTTGAACTGGATGAACGAGTGAATGATGTGTAGTTGCTTTGCATGCAAAGTCCAATCCCCATAGCATAAATCTCAAAAAGGCCATCGAATATAGAAAGGTTTTTTTGTTTATTAACAGCAGAACATAAATCACCGTCACATTGGACAATAGGGTAATTCCCAAAAAAAAGAAAAATCAGAAAAATCGTCAAGGCAGAAAGAGGAAATTTGGGAAACAGAAAAGGAACGAAACAAATCAAAAAAAAAAAAAAAAAAAAAAAATCATGAATTCATGGCATTGAAACACCGAGTCTTCCCGTAGACAAAGTATGCAATCATAAGGGCTCTCATCTGACAGTGTTGGGGACGGAAAAATAAAAAATTAAGCAAGGGAAACATGAGTGGTGGGTTGGAAGTAGCATGCAAAAAAAACCAGGAGGAAGGGGTAAAAGACTGTAGGAGCATCAACATAAGTCGAAGAGTATATAGAGGCAACTGGGAGGGGAATTTTGTAAAAAATTAGAAGGCCAAAAGAAAGAAAAACTGGTACCCGGCGGAAGCTATGCTTCATTGGGGCGAAGAGTGAAAATATCCGCAAAGCCAGACATCTACCCCATCAAATATTCGATCTTGTAGGACCCCAGCAATCCTGTGTATCAACATAAGGGTATATATACAAAAAAAAAAAAAATACGAAGCTTCGTGCATGCAGATAGACAAAGTAATGAATGAACTGTCGTTGAATGAAAGCCCAACCTTGTCCTGATAATAAGTAATATCATTTGATTTGTTTATAATCTCCCCACCATGACGAATAAGACCGAACCATGAACCTGAACATGATAAGACATAAATTCCGTGATCGTTAAGCTGAAGGGTGGAGAAAAAATTGTTTCATGATGTAGTAATTTTAAATCGAGTTTTTCGAGATAATTGAGTGGGTAAATAGTAGAGTACAGGGGATCCTGAAGGTCAAAATCACTTGTTGGGTTTGGTGTATGTTGGTTTAAAAGGTTTCGCGAGCCAATGGGGGGATTATATGTTGAAATATCCCCGATCCATACTCCAAAATAGTCGTTAACGGAACTATAGATCATCAGGAATCCAGTGCACAAGATGGAAGGTGTCTATACGTAGTACCAGCCGTCTCTTGGTCTATCCAGTAATGACCGAATTTTGCGCCCGTTCCCTCATCCGGACCCCTTGGGCCTCGAGTGACCGAGCCATAACTTTTGTAACTATGCCAAACCGAAAATGTGAGTTAAAGAGTTTCGGTGGAGTAAGAATGAGAGAAAAAAACAAAATCTACGACAAGAAATTTAAAATATAGGGCAAAAATATAGTAAAAGCATTACTCACTAGGCCAAACAGCAGCCTGATCCAAAAGATAGGCCGTCGAGAACAAGATCTTCGTCCCAAAACCACCACCGACCAAACTTGGAAGACGGCTTGATGGCTCGTTGCCAGAATTACCAGGATGATGCGAAGCATTCTTCATCTTCGCTTCAACATTGTTAAGTATCTCCTGTATCTTTTGAATCAACTTGTAATCCTCGTCTTCCAAAAGCATTATTCCAGGAACCTGGGTCAAATCTATCGCATCCTGTCCCAGGATTCCTAGATATGGACCAACCCGCTCCTGAATTGTAGTGACCCATTCAGCCAAGACTTGGGCACAATCAAAAGCACACATGGCGCTTTGGATGGGAAGTTCCCGCGACGTGAACTCAGCGTATGTATTGCCCAGCTTGTCCGACATCGAGATAGAATCTGCAGCGTAGAAGGCTGCTTTTCGAAGATGTCGTTCGCGTCGCGTTGCTGCAATCTGCCGCTGTGAAAGATTATTTTGCATACTGTGCTCTTGATTCGGATTTCCAATGAGTGACAGATCGCCTACACCATACTCAGAAATCGAAACTCGTCTGCCTGCGGGTTGGTTTCCCACAGCAAGCTGATCCGGGAAAGGGTAGTCAGTACTAGATGACGCAGACTCTTTCATATGTGGAATGATTTCCACTCCTCGTGCGAGTTCATCTGCCATACCATTCCAGTCTCTTTGCCAAAAAGCTTCTTTCGAACGACCCAAGTTTACGAACAATCTAACATATGCGAGATCCAAGAGAGGAATGCTATCCGCTGACAGAGGCCCAAGTCCGTAAGGATTTGGTCGTTCAAGACTATGTCTAGGGTTGGAGCTCCATGCCGATTGCCAAGCCCTAAGAGCAGGTTCGATATGTGCATGCATCGCTTCCGTTTCTTGCGGTGTCCATGGACGGCCCATATGCCGTTGTCGAGTTTCCCAGATATAGTTGTGCAAAGCGTGTATCAGCACTAAACAACCGAATGTACTAGGTTTCAAATCACTCTGCGGAAGATCTTCACCGGTGGCGCCAGTGGTAAAATGCGACTGCGCTGGTGAACCCGATTGTCGTCGATGACTGGCCGTAAGAAGTGTAGTCAGGGCTATAGAGAATGGTATTCCTCTGAGGTGAGCCGTAGCTCCCCCCGATGATGCCCAAGCCTGAGCAGACTCCGCAGCCCAAAGCTGTTCGTCACAGGGCAAATCCAATCGAATTTCCGAATTCATAAGTGCTGGGGCATGGTTATAGGCAGAGACTAAAAGGCTGGACAACGTGAAAATGGCATAGAGAGTCCTTTTTCGCTCTTCCACTATTTTCCATTTCATCCATTCCCTATGGTCATGCCACGCCTGTGAATTCATCCCATCCACATGGATATCATTCCCGCCGGGGTTATATCCAAGTTGATCTTGTGGGAGGTTCTCGGCTGGTAAGCAGTGAATCAATTCCGCTGCTCTAGCTAAGCTAACCAAAGCAGCACAATGAGTACTTGCAATGTCTGCTGAAGTTTTGTCACCGCTATTATGTCCATATATAACATTCAAAAGCATAGTCTGAACTAGCCATAGTGGAGTATTGTGAACGGAATTGTCGCGTGGAGAACTTGCTCTGTTTAGGTTGACCGACACGTCTGCTTTTCGTCGCTGTTCAAGGTACACTTGAATCATTTTCTTCGCTGACTCGAAGAGTTCCTTAGACGTCGCCGTTTCGAATTCATAAAGGGCACCAATGGCTGCCATAGATAAAATCAAGCATCCACCTCCATTCGCAATAGTGGTTGAGCCGGAATTTCCAAGTCCATTGGGATTCTTCAGACTACTTGAGTACTCGGGAGCATCAAAATCCAAAGTTGGTATGTGAAGGAATGGCATGTGCGGGTGGAAATAATTGACATATGCTGCAATGTAGCGTTGGAGGTCAATCGTACTGGGCAAAGTGTATGAGTTAATGCTGAAGGAATGTTGACGGGGAAGGGCACCAGAGCCCGACAATGGGCAATTGTGAGAGGATTGAGAGAATCGACGATTAGGGATAGCAGTGGGCTGTTGTAAACTAGATAAGAGGGAATGACGAGGAGAATCGGTAGAAGTTTCTGTCGACATTGGTGAGGTGGAATCCGGCATAAAGGTATTGTGCCTAACAGTGGTAGTAGTAGCATCCCCTATATCTCCGTCAGTAACCATTGGGGGATGGAACATGTTATTTGGTACCCCAGACAATCTGGACTGCCCTATCGAGGACATGGACGGCGGTGTTGAAAATGATTGGTCCGAAAACTGGTTCTGTGCAACTGCCAATGACTTGGGTGAGACTGTTTCAGGTTGCATATCCGTGAACGGCGATGAGAGTTCTATATTGAACTGATTGGTCGGTGTTTGGGTTTGGACAAGCAATGGATTTGGCCACGGCCCTGAGGAACTGGTCGCGACTTTGTTTGATCCATCAAACATAACATCGCTGATCCCACTTTGACTTCCCGTACTCATAGCTGAAGGAGACGAACCGTCGATAGCAGATTCATTCGTATTGGCGAATGTCATATTGTTCTCAAATCCATGCAACCATTCGGGGTTGAGATCTTCATCAATCAAGCTCTGAGATGTTGCCATGGTTGAAAATGCTGGGTGAAATGGCGATGTTGGGGTATCGGTACCAAAAGGGTGAGGCGACCCAAAGTGTAATTGAGCGGGGTTAATGGTATTATTACTCCCCTGGTTTAACATTACGTCGCCAAAAGGCGATTCATTGAAACTACCAAAAACGGGTGCCGTGCGAAGACCACTTGACAAGTCCATCGGAATACCAGTATCGAGTTTGGTCAAGCCGTTGCTAACGAGCGGCTCAGAAGGGTGTGCCCGGAACTCGTAGTTTGGAAGTCCTGGTATCGAACTTAGGCTAGGGTGGTTTGTGTGGGTAGGATGAGGCGGTCTCGAGCTACTGGAGTTTCCAACCCCTAAGATCCCGAGCGATGAACGATCAAGATGGCTAATGGTATTGGCTCGGGGTCTCATACTACTACTACTACCGCCACTATTTCCACTATTTGCAATGGAATTTTTGCGGACCCGAGTTGAACTGGGTCCAGCACCGCTGGTGCTCTCTCTCCTTGGATTTTTCGGGCGCGATGAAGGAGTGGAAGTCATATGAAGCTTCTGCTGATGCCGTAAAAGGAGATCCCTCCGTGCAAAACACCTTGTGCATTCTGGACATTCAAAAGGCTTTTCCTTGGTATGAGACCTCTCATGGCGCTTCAAGTGCTCTAGACGCGCAAAGCATCTACCGCAAGTCGTGCAAACATGAGGACGAGGTTTATCTGTTTTGGGTGGAGGGATATCAGGATTTTCGGCCTGTTGCTTCCCGTTATCAACACCTGGGCTGGGTTTTGGTGGAGATGCTGTGAGAACGGTTATTAACTATAGATGACACCCAATAAATATCTAGCAAATATATCATTTACAGCTTACCAGCGGTAGTAGCCGTACCCTCACTTATAGGAACAAGTTCTTGGCCAGATTGGCTGTCGGCGGGATTTTGGCCCGCCATGACATCTAGCAACATGGTATGCAAAAGGAGGTATCACCAATCCACGTTATCTGCTCGGGGGAACTCGTCGCGGAGGGTGAACGAAACCTAGGGGTCAAGGGGGGATGTTTAGGAGGTCAGTGTTATTCGAAAATACCGTAAGTACTCGAGGGAATAATCCCAAAAAAGTGTACTAGGTTTTCGGAGCTTAAAATCAAATTCCAAGTGGACGGAGTATGGTGAATGGCGAAGCTAAAGAGCACAAAACTGTGAATGGAAGACATGGGTTAACAGTTTTCCATTACGACAAATTGAAATCAATTATGAAAGATCTGAAGAGACCACACAGGCAGCGCTCCTCCACACCGATAAAGCCAGATTCAGATTGTAAAAATTACCTCATATCTGTAGGAGAAATAAATTATTAAGAGCTTACCAGTATTAGCTCCGAGAGCTTCAATACCCTAAAAGAAAGATAAAACAAGTTGCGAATGGAATTATGGCTCTTGGAATGGCTGGAAATAGACTGAATCCGGCGGCGAGCAAATGTACGAGTCAATCCCTCAGAAGCCATATACCTCTTGGAAAAGACCACCTTTCCGAGCTCGTCGCTATTGAAGCATTGGTACGAGGAATGACAAGCTGATAGCGGTGACAAGCACAGACGAAACCACAGAGATGATCAGAGAATCCGCGCTGGAAACACTCGTCTGCATAACCAGAATATTGGGAGTTGATTGGATAAATAATTTCTTCTTTTTCCCTCCCTATTGCCCGATCCTAAGGTTACTTCTGATGTTTGCTGGAGTTGGGTATCATTGACCAATATTGATAGTGGAGACAGGAATGGAATAACACGGGATAAGCAAGTAAGCCACGAGAAGGTTTGAGGAGCTAAGGAGGATGACGGCAAATTCCGAATGAAGATAGACAAGTTAGGGAGAGTATAAGTTGAAGCTGTGTTTCAATTGCGCCAGCGAATATATGAAGATGTGGTTGTCGGGAGGCTGGGTGCATCAGACAACGTGATTCAAGAGCTGTTTCATGGGGTCAGAAAAGAGGCCGAAGCACTATAAAGAGAGAATATGCTCTTGAATGAGGGTTCATGAATTCCGACGCAGCTTGAGCGGAAGAGAAGGGAGAAGAGGTGAGGTTGAGACGAGGTTGAGGTGAAGTGAGGTTGAGTTTGTGGATGGTCCAACGTCAGAGGGAAGTCGGCGGCGGCTCCAGGTTGGAAACTTGGGTTTGCGGCTTATCGAGGTGGCTCGTACACACTTAGCGGTACATGTACGAGCAACTTGGTATGGTATCGTCCCGCGCCCCAAGCGGCGAGGTATTGAGATTCAATTACAGTAACGGACAGCCAATTACCTGTCTGTTGTGAACTAAGTGTACTCTACGTGTACGTAATACCACTTAAGGACTGACATTCCCGCCACGTCAATTTGAAATTTTCCAAGCCTGCCCTGAAGGTTAGCAATAATACCATTCGAGTCTGAAGCAGCGATACGGGAGCTTTAAATACAAACATCCGTAATCCGTATTCGTAGTGTATGAAACAGCCTATTTATACTATTTCTCACCAAGATCGTTACAATGTATTGCTTGCCTTCTTCTGACTGGGATATAATTACAGGAGCTGTCCTGTCCGATGCAGTGTATAAAAAGGCATGAAATTTGATCTCCACATCAAACCTGCCTACCTACCCTATTATATTACCACCAATTTGATAGACTCGCAAGCTTCTGCTAAGGGAAAGCCATTAACCAGGAACGAAACCCAAATTAGTGAGACAAATATACATTTCCCACGAACCGGGAGGGAACTTTCATCATTCAAAAGCACAATCATTCTTATGGCATCAGTAGTGTCAAGCATTTCTCAACTCACTGAAAACACAGGAGTCATTGGTGTTCTGATGCTACAACACAACTGTCGAGCCCTCTCCTAGGTCACCCTTTGGAGACACATTTAGTCCAGTAACTTTACCTTGAGAACTAGCGCAGTAGAGAATTTCCGAACTGCAAGGATACATATTGAATTGTCTAGTCGGCAACTGCAGATTTCGGTTTGTCCGAAGCTACCTTAACGTATCCTTGGTACTACTGTATTAGTGCGTACCTTACTTGGTAATTTCATGTTTTCCAACTCGAGAGCTTTGCGCTCAAACTCTTCGTTTTGCACGTTTGAGCACCTATCATCAGCCCCTCAACGTATGCATATCTCAAGCTGAAATTTGAAAACACAAAAACACCACAGCGTGCAACCTGATATTAGCTGAAAAATCGTAGTTTGGAGATACTCTCAGCGTGGTTAAGTTCCGGATTTGAACAGCTTAAAAGGAAGGGAGCTGAGGATGCCTTCATGACAACCACCTGGGCACTAGAAGAAACCCGAGACAGTTAGATGGTAAGAGTAAGAACCTGATCAGCCCGAACCCAACAAATATGTTGAAAGGCTAGGTGTACTTCTCATACGTCAACCGTGGCAAGTCAATGATAAATAAGTAGTTACTTGCACAATACTAGTTACATAACGACATCTCAACCTCTCAACACCGCAGTGAATTAATCGCCACATAGCATTTCAGCACATCTGCGTTTCTTTCTTCGTTCTATAACAAGGCACACCAAGGAAACAGCGGAAAAATAGTCAGAGTGTCAGACTCAGGAACATCCATGCCGGCGGCTAGAGATGCATATTCCCGTGAGTCTTGACTTCAGAATCCAGACGAGGTGGAAACAGGATGGTAATACCACATGGAAAACAGAAGCGCGAGGACAAGTCAGTGGCAATCACCAACCTCCATTACTGTAGTTATTTGCCATCTGTGACGTGGGGCTATCTGCCACTGACGTCCTAACCGTTAACTTAAACCAGGATTCGAAATATTTAAACCTTTTGGGAACTTCAAATGGTGGCTTGGAAAAAAGCCTTGTCCTGTGGTAAAAGACCAAGTACTTGGTTTTTGGAAATAAACATAAAAAGTTTATGGTAAACCTCCATTGTGTTTTTTAATATTATCTCACAAAAGGTTCTGTACATACATAAATGCCTGTACCTGAGAACCGAGAACCGAGAGTTGGTTGTTGGTTCCAGGGCGCCCCGATATAATTACATTCTCCAAGTATCCTTCTCGAAGGTTGTCACCGAGGCCTTGACCCAGAACTAGGTCGTCAATTAAGTTTCGATAACCATGTCCGCCGTCAACCTTAACTGTCTTTTTAAACGATATGATAATGAGATAAGATATGTATATTGAGAGATTCTTATTTAACTTCATACTCTTCACATAAGGGTTTTTTAATGCTGTGTGCATGGATCTGAACAGAAACTTCATTATTCTCAGCTTGACTAATAATACAGAGCTATAATCTTGGGAAGGCATTCAAGCATCAAAATATTGGAGACCCTTAGAAATCGGCTTCCCATTTTTACGCTGTGTGTATTCAACGGCATGCATGCACAGTGACTCCCGTCAACTATAATTTCTTCAGTTCAGCAACAAGGTCCCCTAGATTAAAAGCCACAACTTCGAGTATTCCATGAGAGAACGAAGAATTAATTGATGGCGTAGGCCATTCTTGAAAAGACTCATCGTGGAGCTTGTCTAACAATGGCATTTCTTGAGGAACGTCTCAGCGAGCAACTCGCATGGCTCTCGCCTCGTGCAGTTCGAAAGGGGCTTGTGATTGTGAATGATGTTTTTTGCTGAGTCATGCTAAGAAACCTTTGACGAAGAACCGTGCCAGTTCTGGTCGAAAAAAGCTAAATATGTTGAACCAACGCGTGGCCGTGTATGTAGTTCAAATTCCACCAGCAGGGCATTTGAGTGTATGGATGTCCTTGTTAAAGCTCTTTCAGATGACAGGTGTTTCATTTGAGAGATAAAATATTTGATGACACAATATATCAAAAGCATGCAAAGCTCAGCTTGCTTTGTGGACTTTGAATATCAAACAAAAACACGGCAATGATGACTTCAGCATGTGAAAGCGCCTTCACTTTATTTCCTACTTATATGAAACTCTCCAGTGAGTATCTTAAGATGTCATTCCGCGCGAGCAGAGAATTCCAGGCTTCGTGCGTGATAAGAGCGTTGTTCTAGTCAATATCCCAATAATCCCCAATCTTTTCTTGATTTATCCGGAATATTTTTGAGGAGTCGCTGGGTTTGTACAGCAACACACGCCAGACGATGTACCACCTATCAACATACATTTGTGACCAATTTAGCGCCAGAGTTTCGAAATATATTCAACAGGCAGGACATGGCTGACATACATCATAATCTCGTCGTGACCTTTTTGGTGAGGAACACACCCACGATATGGGATGCGTCTTTGAAGATAGATGAACAAAGGACCGCTTTAGAATGATTCTAGTTAATTATGTACCAGCACATTAAGTGAGCAGCAATGACGAATCAACGATTCGAGACATTCTGGCTTTCTCTAAACCATTGACAAAAGTGCTACAGGGCACATGAGTATACATATATATGGAGTATTCTCACCCCTTTGCAGCTTCAATCTGTCCATCCATTTAAAGCGAGAGAAACATCAAGCTACAGCAATGTCAAAACCATGTTTTAACGTATGTATGAAGGTAACGTGTATGTACTCAGAACATATTTCGTACTTACAGTTCAATACATAGGGGCTCCCGTTTGACTCCTTGCAGAATTTCCAAAATGGTAATACACCCCAACTACCTTGCTACCAAAAGCAAATCATCAAATTGCATGGGTCGTTGGGCGCTTCGACCCTAAATGGCCAAGATGGAGGACTAAAAAATCGGCACTAGAATGAATTAAGGTTTCTCGTTTGTAAAAACCTGGGGTCGCCCCTTTTGCTGTTCACAAGAGTTCAGGCACGCTTGTATCAGTCAGTAAATTTGGGGTTTCAATGAAGTAGTTACTACGGTGTGCTTCCCCCAAGGCTCGCAAACGCGGGTCCGCCAAGCAGAGCCAGGTTGGTCTCAACCCACTATCCACCCTCGTCCAAGCGTTCGATATCCCCCAAAGTCGAGCAAAGTATTTGCTGGGCGTTTCATAGGCTCCGATTTGTTAGTTAACTGGGGCCATTAACTATTAGTGACCGGCGAATCTTGACTCTTCCCACTAGTTAAGCCGGTGACTATCTGATCAATCTCCAATTGGCTCTTGTTCATCCAGAGTGGAACTGGGAGAAGTCAGGAGGGAGAGTCTGAGACTCTTAGAAGCCCCAGACTTGAAGATGGACAAAAGCAAAGTAGACATATCCGTTGCTCCCGCTGCAGGTGCACAGCGGAAGATCCATGGCTGATGACGAGTATTTATTTTCTTTTATTTCATTATTTCTTTTCCCCTTAATTTAATTAAGCCCTGCACAAAGAAAGCTAGGATTGATACCAAGTCGAAAAGAGTTGTCAGGAAAAACTTGTGCCATTGGGAAAATGTCGATCACATTGACCAAGTTTAAATCTGTGTCTGTGTTTAGTAGGTTTGATACCTTTTCGCCCGTTTTGTTTCCGCCATTCTTGGGCCAGATTACAAGCATATCATGCTCCTGTCAAGCAGAAGCGCTAGAGCTTCCGATGCGACCAATGGAAATTTCGTTCGGGAAAATTGGGCTTTTGGAAAATGAGAGTTGAGTAAACAGCTGGGAGCGATTAAAACCTCAGCTGAATATCCTTTTTCCATTGAACAATGTTGGGACGCAGTCTGGCCAATGCCAGTAACTACATTTTTGTTCAAGGAGCATTTTATGGACTGTAACTTCCTGGTTTTGCTTCGTTCTTTAAGTTGGGCAGATACCAGAACGACGCCACCATGCTGCGTATCCAATGTAGTGTTTATCCAAGACCAGGAACATGACGCACGTATATTGATCTCGATGGAAATAATTGGAAACCCTGGCACGTCATCTGAAGGTTCCTTCTTTCCTCTGCAATGGTACAACCATTCTGCGGCATAGGTCTTACCCTTCAACTTGCATCGAACTCATGAGTGGTTCATGATCTTGATTCCCTGCAACTAAGCTTTAACTTTCTGGCACGGCAAACATGACAAGGTATATCCAGAGAACCTCTGACACATTCATTCATGAAGGGTGACCGTATGCTTCTCTCCTAATCAAATTCTTACTCCTCCGTGTAGGGATCGGAATAGGGGGCTGGCGATCCTTAAACTTGCGTTTGAGATCCAAGGCAACAAGAGTTAAGGAGCCATTGACGTAGGAGCAGGTCGTGGATGGGCGAGGGCATTTACTGAACTCGCCTATCTCTTGGTTCTGCTGAGCTGAAAGCTTGTAATAAAACAATTTTAATAATTAGGGCTGATACTGACCTGCTATAAAGATACATTAGCTTCTCATTGGACACTGCAGAACCTTGCTACAGCGCAGTATTTTTCAACAGGGAAGAGAAGCTGATAACAGCAACCAGAGTCCTGAAGTTCTGGTGTTCAATCGACAATACTCAAAGCCTCAAACTCGACGCGGGTTAGGATCTCATCACTAGTTTCCTCTCCAATACTGCCTGCTGGAACATTGGACGGTTATTTTTCTTTCACGACCAAGCTCTCCCCCATTGGTCCCCCATGTTCCGTAGCTCTTTCATCAGATATCCATCGAATCCGCTCGCAAAAGATTCCTTATCAATGAGAGTTGTCTAGCAGCAGCATGTTTCCCGCGCAATCACATCAAGTAACAACCCACTTCCAATTTACTAGCCAGTCAAATTAAGTCGGCTCTCGAGAGAACCATGATCCGTTCTCGACTCATGATGATTTGAATATGTGGGGATTCCAGCCCCATGAGTGTCGAGCGGGTTCAACGAAAAATACATCGTTTCTTTTCAATACAGGTTCGTTTTCCGGGGTGCTATGCTTACCCCACTGTTTTGGTGAGTATGTAATAATTCCCTGGTATTTATATTAGCTTGGTTATTTATGTTAGTACATATCTTACTGTAACGTATTGTGCGCAGTGTTCAGATGCTGCCCACCCGGGGGACCAAAGTCTGAGTGATTTATCTCAACTCACTCGCTTTCAAACATATTCATGGAAGATAATATGCTATATAGACAATAGCATATAGCGCTCATCTCTCTCGTCCTCCCTTCCTCTGAGTCCGTTCTCTGGATAACTTGGGTTCTCGCCGTTTGCCATGCGTTTTACTGGTTGTATCCATATCCGGTTTTTCTTTCGAACACACTTTTTGCTTTCCATTTCAAGGGTCCCCTGCTCTACCATCAGAACATGTCTGGGCGTTTGCCTCAGACCATCCCGCTCAGCGGTCCCGCCAACCACAGTTGCGACGGGTTGTTTTTAGTCCAGTTGGTTGGACTGAATGCACAACTCGGATGGTAAGGTTTTCATGACGGTCCGCTTAGCGCCGTTTTCGCAATATCCAGGGTCTCGGGATTCTGAGCTGAAGTTTGTAATTCCATCATGTTCGATCAATTTCATCATGAATCAGAAGCATGACGTCCTCGTTATTATAGCTATATTGCTTGAGAATCATATGCGATGAGGTGGTGAAGGATTCAGTTGCCTCAACTAAGCTCTCCTGATCTTAGGTGCTTCTAACTTTCTAGTGTACCTCGGTATTTCTATAAATGCCCAGTCAGTTAACTAATCAGGGTTTCGCTTGTGAACACCCTAGAGGATTAAAAGCTTGCATGGAACCTTCGACACAAAACAACACACATTGTACAACGAGAATTTGATGCACCGCCTTTCACATCCAGGCTTGTCATGCGCCAAGCAATTCTTGTCGCGAATAAAGAAGAGTATCTTGGACACAGCTTTCCACTGTTGCGATGAACGGGTGCGCATATCCTGTGTACATTATTTTATGACCTATGTTGTAGTTGAATAACCATGTTGAAGGTCAACATCCATATGTTCCCATTGTAAGTTCCCATTCTGTAAAAAAGGCGTAGTGAGATCTGCACCGCACTTGATAATAACAAAGCTTTTAGTTAGATAGGTTGCTTAGATGGCAATGGTTTCAATCAAGTATGCCAGCTCCGTTGCACCGAACAGTGGAGGGATACCCACTTCAGCCAGAATCAAACCTGTTTATGATATCTTCTATCAGAACAAGTAACACAAATCATATGTCAGTGAAACAGCATCGCAGAAAACAGTGCCGTTGCTTAGAAAATATGAGCCAGATTGATACAGTATTTGTAGGTAAATATGCCACATCTTTTATCATCCGCCCATTCTTTCCAGAACGAAAATTGTAAGGTATAAATCCACATTGAACAATTCCGATTGATTTATCTATACAAGTCATATCTTTACACACATGGAATACAAAGCGTATGCATAGCATGGGAACAAATCTTTCCGCAAAGATGATCGTGATTTCTCACAACTTTTTACCTAACTGCTCGGTAAATACTTCTTAATCCCGCCAAATGCATACATGTGTCGTGGCGGCAGAGGCTGAAAGCACGCTATCTTGTGGTCCCCGCTCATCCCTGGGAACTGGCTGAAACGGACCCGCTTTTGGCAATTGCCCTCCTCCACCAAACAAGAACACGCTGTCACCATGGCGGGGAACGGTTGTCGATGAAGAGATGGGTGTAGGAAGTGGTACCAGCGTGGCTGGAGCAGCCGTACAACAACTGCAATGGAGGAGAGGTTTCATTCTGAAGCATGCCATAATTTCAGGGATTAGCTACATATATATTTCAAACTGGACTTCGAATTTATGCATATTATCCGAAACTGTTGCTTTCTTTTGAAGCAACTTATTTATATCTCGACTGGAGGCACGAGAATACCGACGAGAGAAGCTCAGCCCTATCGGAATGATCACTCTTCTGGATTTTACATCCATGCACTTTGGATGAGAAGCGTCTCAACCGAAAATTTTACCGTTCAAGGCTGGGACATACATACATTTCTACAATATAATGTATGTAGAACACATTGAAAACGAGAATATATGCCAGTGAATAGAACAAGCCACATGAAATACTACACGTCCATAGACTGTTTTATAGAGCGCTGGAACACAGCAGAGGATGGCATTCCACATCACTTCGTATGTCCTTAACACAGAGTCACTGGATCCACAACTTGCAGGTCTTAAGATGATTCCCCCTCTATCGCTTAGTTTATTGATAGTTACCGATAACTAACGAAGATTTTGGCCGGGTTTCGAAGCAAATTCTTTTCTAACAAAAAACCGGTCAGTTATTTAAACAGGACCTACTCCCCACCATTTAGCTGGCTGCCATTGGAGTGTCTGTCCTTGCCCAACATATGCGCTAATTTCCGATTATTCTGGAAGACTCGCATGACACCCAAGTTTCGAGGTTGAATTCCTCAACCGGAAGAAACAAGGTCCGAGCCTTTGGGGTGGAGGGGTTATAAGCAAGTTACTCCGGAGATACATATTTCCGACTCACAACCATACAATGAGCATTTTCATATCCCTTCAATTGAAAACTTTTCGGTGCAATTGAGGATGAATTCCAGTTTCCTGCGGTCACGGCATATTGTCAAGGAAACTTCTCCGTGACTAACTGCAAGCCAATGCCGAGAGATTCTACATTTTCGGGTTTTGTCTCCCCATAACTAACGGTACAGATAGAATTGTTGCTTTGCCCCATCTGCTTCTTTGCCGCAAATCTACGGTCTACACACCTATAGATACCTTCTGAAAATATGCAAAGCATGTCAAGAGATTTCCGCTTCATCACCTTTCACTGTCAGAAAACTGCTTTCTCTAGCAATTGTGTGGCTGTGAGACATCTTTGCTGATGTTGACCTTAACATTCAACACATCAGCGTCTCTGTTGATATTCATATTTCTGTAAATGGATGATTTACGTTCATGTTAACAATTATTATTGGACTATTCTCAAATTATAACTCATGAACATATGAACTCCTGGAAATGCCACCAGCGCCTCTCGCTCGAAAAGCGAAAAGCGAAAAGCCGGACGAGAAGGGGGGAAAAAGGTGACCAAAATTATGTTTTTGCATATCCAACTGACAAAAAGTATTAGAGGGTTTGATGGCAGGCTTCTTAATGCGTCTTTTGAGGATGTTTGTTTGTCGGTAAAGTACTTGGGGCAATGGCTGAACTATCCTAACAAACGGTCTTCGAATCCCCAGTGCCGAATGCTATTGATGATGGGTCATTAGTCGTCATCCTTTTTCTTCTTTTTCTTCTTCTTCTTCTGCTTCTGACAAAGTTCCCCGTCCGACAGGACATATCCAACCTCTTTCCAGAATGGTCTGCCAGTTACCGGGTAAAGAATCAGATCCCAGTCTCCCCTACTCTCAGCTCGTCGCTCTTTTAGTTGCCCTATTGTAGGCGGACCGGTGTTCTTGATCTCTCCTCCTGCCACCCAACATACCGCCGCAGGGGGGCGTTCGTCGTCTTTAATATGAGAGGCCTACTTCCATGAATCCGACGAGGCGGTCGCGACTGCCATTGCCACTTCGTATTTCGAGATTGGGATTTGGTCTGTTTTTCGTGGCGCTGGTGGTTTGTGAACCTGCTGACCGAACAGCGGTGGTCTGAGATGCGACGCTCATCAAGAGGCTTGATGGAAGCGGTTCCCCGGAAGTGCTGACTTGCGATCTCCAATAGGCAGAAAGTTGGCTGTTGGTTTAAGTCTTGACTGGTACCCGTAGGATGAATTCTTTCTCCGGATCGAACCCTTTTGGCTCGTCCCTTTGGAATAGGGTTTGTATCTCAAGAGTGTTCCGCTTCGACGCTGTTACGGCACTCTTCCTGGAACCTAGAATAGTAGCTTCATGTCCACTTTTCTTGAGATTATGATGCTGTTTCGCAATTCCGCTTCGCTTGCAAGGACTGTTCCTCTGTCCCTGCTGATGCACAGATATAAGGAAGAGGAACAAGTATCCTTCTGGATAATCAGACGTTCCTTGGACTCTTGATGAGAAATAGAAACGAGCAATAATATTGGGTTGGAAGGAATTCTCTTTTCCTGTGCTGAGGACGATATGTCTGAAGAACTATAGTGATTACCCTTCAAATCTCTATATTTCGCCTGGGGAATCTGGACTATATATACTCTATTATTCGCTCCCCTTCTGCTGGATAGAAGTTTGATGCATTTAAGTATTTTAATAGACATGAGAGGTCTTCCCTGATGCTTTTCCCGAGTTCTCGTTTTCTTCTTCATAATCCCCATAGTTGTAATCGAAGCTTTAGAAAGTTGAATTATGAGGTTAAAGGTTGCTCCGGAAATATCACTAGAATGTCAAATATTTCCCATCTGACATGTGGGATAACATATGCAAAAACTACTTTGAGTTCTGGACATTCTCTTAATGTTGACCTGCTGTCTATGTCCAATATGCTACACAAGGGCTGTTAGAAAAGGTCAAGTTTAGGGTTCACCACTGCATCTGAATCTTAACGGGCTTTGCCATTATTAAACTATCTACTTGTCCTGGCAAACAACCACTTCTCTTTCTCTGAGGATTTGCAATGCCTAAAGTATCAATTTTCCCTATTCGTAGTAAGCAGAGCATTTCGGAACTTGGAGAATTGCCCGTCATCTTCCATCTCTCATGTACAGACGGATACTAAAGAACTGTCGGCTTGAGTACTTCTGGTAAGAGTGGGGCAAGATGTATCAAACAAAAAGTAGTCATGTTAAAAGCTCATTAATCATTCATCAACCTTTTTAACTGAAAGTTTAACAGAAAAGGATATCTAACATTAAATAGTAGAAATGTAAATAGTGGAGATCATTTATTTGCAGATTCATACAATGGTTTCAAAAATCTCCCTAGTCCTCTTCCCAACCAACTAAACACTGATGGTTTTGAATACACTATAAGCAAGAAGATCGATTAGCGTTGTTTCAAGGACAGAAGGGTTCGTTGCTACTCGGGATCCATCCGCATATAAGGCTCAGAAAAATAAATAAATGTCATATTAGTCACTTACCCGAACCCACTGCTCCCAGTCCCCATAATAGTCCCAGGCATTTGCGCTTGCCAATGGAGCTCTTTCACCGATTCCATATAATGCACAAAGAGAAGTTGAGGAGGGACATCGGCAAGACCCGCATCACGACTTTCCTCATCGTCCAGTTCAACGGCCAGGTCCCAAAGGGTCAGGGTATTATCTGCAGACCCAACAGCAACCACACTGTCATCTGTCGGATGCCATTCTATACTTGTGATGGGTTCCTTATGGAAGTCAAACGAGGCTACAGGTTTTGGTTTGAGCTGCGATGTAGCACCTCCAGAGGTATTTGGCTTCCAATGTCGAAGATCCCACACACCCCATTGGCCGTCGTCTGCACCCGTAGCAAGGAGGTGGTATGTCTGCCGCGACCAGCTCATGACGTTCACGTCTGTGTTGGAGACTTTGACGTCCACTGCTGGTTTGCGAGATTTGGATCGGATATCCCATACCTTGACACTGCCATCGCTGCTTGCGGATGCGAAAACGTTGCGCTCGTTGGGGGACCATTGGAGTTCTTCCACTGAAGATTTATGTCCGACGAATGGGCGGGTGTCAGTCACCCAGCCGCCTCCCTCTGTGCGAGTAGTTACGTATATCAACCCGTCGTTGTCGCCTGTAAGCAATTTTCCTAGGGGTTGAAGAGGGGACCAGTCGATGGCATATCCTTCTGATTTGTGCATTCGTAAAGTAGATAAGGGTTTCGAGGAGGAGGGCGGGAGGATCGAACCCGGGTTATCAAACATAGAAAGATGGGCGGTAACGTCGTGGATTACGACATGAGAATTTTCAAGCATGGTTGCGGTAAGGGTTTGTGGAGGTTTGGAGTAATCTCCGGATGACGGGGAGATTTGATGAGCACGGATTCTGTTTGTCGTAGAGTTCAGCGGGATAGATTTTGACTCTAGGATTGGTTCTGAGGATTCGTCGTCTGAATCATCATCGCTATCCGAGTCCTGGTTCTCTCGCTCCATCCTGCTAAGTCCGCTCAATTTGAGGATCATCAATTCGTTTTCCTTCGAACGAGCTCCATCTGCTTGGGTTCCTGCTACGGCATATACGGTGGCAGGGTATGTCTTCCGGTTGTCACCCAGTTTATCTTTTACAATATCAAACGATAGGCATGGCCACGGCGTACTCAGGGTATGAAGCATTTCATATGTGGAAGGGTCTGGCGACAATGTCTCTCCAGGAGCCAACTTTGTTCGCCCTGGTATGAACATCTGCTTATCGACTTCCATAACATCTGTTTACAGTCCATCAGCAAAACTTTAATCGTTGAACTGGATTGCAACGAAACGGAGTTGCCCACCGCAATACCGTTTTTTCTTTTTGTTCTTTAATGTTTAATTCATTTCATCTAATGTGCATTCACATACCCCTTTGCTCCTCTGCCTCCCTATCTGCATCTGGGCGCCCGTCAACGCCAGCCTCAATGATCTCATCTTCACTTTCAAATTCGTCCTCAAACTCGTCTTCGAATTCCCCCACCTCGTCAGTCGGGGCATCTGCCACCAAACGTTCGCCAGCTTTCAATGGCACGGATGGATCTTCTGTCACATCTGGCCCTCGTTTTGACATTGTGAACGTATTTTCCAACTCGAATTAGATATTACCAGTGTAATATTAATTAAAAAAGGGGCTTTGTTTGTGGGGATATTTTGTTGGCATATATAACTCTCCAAGCTTAAATTTGAATATTATTTAATTTTTTTTTTTTCTGGGGAGGAATGAAACACGCTAGGCCGTTCTGGGACCAATAACCCAACGCTGTGGAATTTAAGAGCTTCAGAAGAAATCTTCAGACCATAATAAATCTGGTAATTGCCGACGTCTCTGCTGTGATTGGTTTGTCGCCAGGTTAGCAGAGTTGGTTGAAAGATTTCTGTCGTTTTTTAACAGCAAGCAACTCTGCCACATCCCATTTTTCCAGGATATGTTTTGATCATTTCAACCCTGTTTTGTTTCCTTGCTCCGCGTTTAATAAGTTATTTAAACGCCGTGTTTTGCGCGCCACGCGCCTTATTCAAAGTCCCCCAAAGGAACCCTTTTCCAAACCACTTCAGCCCCTAGGTTTGGCATGATATTATTTCCCGGTATCTACCAATAATATCTTTTTGAACGACCTTGTCCACTATTTAATGGGCATCTAAGCTATAGACAGGACACAACCGTCTCCCATGACGATATTCAACGACTTTCTTTGACCACATTCTAAAATTCAGCGTCATTGTTTACTGGCCGTGATTTATGCCTTCTAAGGCCGTGGCTCCTTATTCACGCTCCTTAGCATTCCTTTGAAATAATCTGGTGCTGGCCGTTGGGGAAAATGGACAACCGACTGCCAGAAGCAGAAAAGTTGCCTGTGTTGGAGCAAGCAGCTCCAGTCGACCATGGACTAAATCAAGTTCAGGAACAAAATCAGGTTCCTGACCAACAGCTCCCTGACCAACTTCTTGTGCAAAAGGCCCAACCAGAGCAGGACATGCCACCAGCCGCAGAGGAAGCAGTGACCAGCTTACCCTCGTACAATAACAATGGCTATAGCAACAGCCATCTAACCGACTACTCCCCACACTCCATCGATTGCCCCGCCTCTGGTCAACCATCCATACCGCAAGAAATCAAGTCGTCTCCCCGTCATCATTCTCCAACAATGTCTTCTCAGCAATCGGCCCAACCGGTGCAGACAAGCTCGCGGCCTAGTTCAGGCTTATCGGGTGGTAGTGATCGGTACGGATACCCACAGTCCTACCAGGACCCAAATCGGGACCAGAGACAACAGCAACAACAGTCTGCGCCCAGCAAGAATAGCGTCGTTATAAAAGTTGGAATGGTGGGGGATGCTCAGATAGGTAAAACCAGTCTTATGGTTAAATACGTCGAGGGAAGCTGGGATGAAGACTACATCCAAACACTTGGTAAGAGATATAATGGGATCCATGCATCTCTTTTGTTTTGATATTTGGAATTTTGGAATCTAGTATTTAGAAATACAGATACTGATATAGACCCTTCACAATCATAGGTGTCAACTTTATGGAGAAGACTATTTCTATTCGGAATACAGAAATTACATTTTCCATTTGGGATCTGGGCGGACAGCGTGAATTCGTCAATATGTTACCTCTAGTGTGCAACGATGCTGTCGCAATATTATTCATGTTTGACTTGACGCGAAAGAGCACCCTGAACTCCATCAAGGAATGGTACCGACAGGGGCGTGGGTTTAATAAGACCGCCATCCCATTCCTTATTGGCACTAAATACGACCATTTTGTTAACTTCCCGCGGGAGGACCAAGAAGAAATATCAATCCAGGTCAGTGACATATTCCTTCTAGGCTACTTTTGTTTTCCTCCCCCCACCCAAAAAACAAGCAGTTATTATTTCCTCTAAGCTGACAAGAACACGACAAAAGGCCAAACGTTTCGCCAAAGCCATGAGAGCCAGTTTGATTTTCAGCAGTACGAGTCACAGCATAAATGTGCAAAAGGTATGTATAGTATTTTTTTTTTCTTCCCCCGTTTTCAAGTTCACATCAGATTGACCCAGACAAACAAATGCTAAAACATGTATGCTATAGATCTTTAAAATCGTTCTAAGCAAGGCTTTTGATCTTAAATGCACTATTCCCGAAATCGAGAACATCGGGGAGCCGCTATTGCTCTATCAATCGGTCAATTAAGTGAAATGTGATGTGTGCGGCTTATTTATTAGATGAGGTGATGTGATATTTTCTCTATGATGAAACAAATAATTTGTACGCTGGATGAAGTCATGATTTATATGATTATAGTCTTCGTTTTGAAATTGAGAGGTCGGTGAGTCGGTGATACGGGAAGCAGCATGGTAATAGAGCCAGGGCGCTGTGTACAGCCAGCTGCATATTTGTCAAGCCATGAAGATAACGCAAATCGGTGTGCGTGTTGCTGCGAATAATCATCGCTGAGGCGATATGCGTTTTCTTTGTTTTCTCTTTTTGGCATTGGGCTGCGTTCAAGGCATTTGATTATTTTTATTTTTCACTCTTTAAATTTCCGTTCTTCCTTTCCTCTTCCCTTTCTCCTTTGATTCTTGTCCTGTGTTTTGTAAATTTTCTCGTCATCTGGACGTGTCCAACTGCGCCTTTCCCCCTATTGACCTCTCATTTATTGCTTTTGTGCAGATCAATTGTAATCCAGCTCGCTCTGTTAAAAAGAAGGAACTATACGGCGTCAGAGAAAGAATGAGAATATCTAAAGAAATTGTACCCTAGAGCATCATATAACATGCGTGTATTAGCATTGTAGCATTGGCCTGCATGTCTTTTGCATTTTATGACAAACTGGCAAGCTTGATCGATTGCAAAGATTGCTAACTACTGGAAAGACTATGGTGGAAAATAGCTCACGTGACTAAAGGGACCGACCCCACTATTGTAGGAGCACTTATTATGTATCACAATAATGCCTACTGTCAAGTACAGGTAGAGAATCAACTAGAAAAACAAGACTGTGAAAAAACCAGTTAAAAAGGAGGGAGCATTATGTTTTATTTTCACAACTTTACAATGTTCTTCCAGTATGCAAATTTAGTGATTTTTAAAGATAATATCATCTGTCATATTATTTGCAGATATTATATAGTGTAAAATAATCTCATTCTTATAAACAAAATTTTTTAAAAAAAATGAAAGTAAACTTTCATGTACTTGTGTTATATTGATTTTTCAAAGTAGCAGATTTATTGCAAACTTGTTATCTGCATAATTAATGAAAATAAAAAAGTTAGTTGAAGATAAAATAATCTAATCAATAATATTTAAATTATTAAATTGAAAGAGTAGAAATTCAATATCTGCAATTATTATTATTTTTATTTAACTTAATATTAAAAAGAAAAATTATTTTTAATTAACTAATAAAATATTTTTTCTCTTTTTTTAAAAGCTTTATTTATTTAATAAAATATAATTTTTTAATTTATCTATTAATATAAAATTAAAGATAATTTTTTAAATTATTTTTTAAATATTAATATCAATTTTTGCTATTAAATTTAATTTTTAATTTTTTAAAATATATATATAAATAGATATTTTATGATAGATAAATATTTTTATTTAAATAATAAAAAATATAATTTAATTTTTTTACTTTATTTATAAATTTATTTTATTTTTTAAAATTAAAGATATTTTTATATATATTAAAATTAATTAAAAAGTTGAAAATAATTTAATTTTAACCACTTATTTATTTGATATGACCTGTTTGATGATAAATTACATAGTTGTCTTAACAGCAAAATGTAATACAACATGAATAGTCGTAGACCCATGGAAGCGTCTCCAGGCTCCTACAAGTTAAACAACCCTAAGGAATGCCAATCCTGACTAAGCCACAGCTTCATTCGCCGGGCCAATCACAGGCCATTCCCGCCGGCTTACTGCTGCGGGTGCCAAGAAATGACGTTTTGGAAATATCGTGCTGTTCTCCGACGCCAACCTCCGCCCTCCGCCCGTTCTCCACCTCCGCCAATGCTTGGGTGCTTCTTCTCCCTCAAGCCCACTCATCCTGGCTTCAATTCCTCAAATCAACACCCTGCATAGTCTGGCCTTTGCCTTAGATTATGTCTTAATCGCTCAGGAAACTGGAACGGAAGAGAAAAGAAAAGTTAGGTAGAAGAAACAGAAGGGGTGCTAAATCTCAAAGACACATACGAACAACCATTCCCTACGCAGCATTCATCAGTTGCGTCTGGTAAAGAAGATGAGATTAACTGTATAGTCTCTTGGGGGGTAAAGTATCTGCTTTTTGTTCCTTGTCTCTTTCTCTCTTTCTTAATTCTCCTTCATAGTCCAGTTTCTAACAATCCGAAGTTGTTTCGTTCAACAGTCTGTTCACTCTTCGTCGTCCTGCCCAGTTCACTGATCCACTACCTTAACCTGACCTGCCAAATCGACAGCTTTTACATCCACTTAGACGGGCGCTGGCCACCCATTCTTCAGAATACTGCTATTAGAAGTTTGCACAGAGCATCCATTTCATCTGACACTCACGAGTTGCGACTTTTTCCACCCCTAATTACCCCATCTAACCCCGCACGAATCTACGAAACCAACCCTCTCCAACCTCCCATACACTTAAAAATACCTACCTACAAGCGCTACAATGCCTACCACAACCTTCTCAACGTCAAACCAACAGCAACAGCAAGAGCAATTCCACTCACCCACCACCTCCTCCTCCACCGCCACCACCGTCACCCCTCCGTCTTCCCCCCCAGAATCCAACGACCCCTCCACCGCCCTCTTCGCCTACCTCTCCACCCCCTCCACCTCCTTCACCTCCCCGCTGGAAGATCTCCACACCTCCATCCTAGGCTACCTCCAGCGCTCCGGCTGGACGGAACGTGTGCGCGGGCTCGCACTCGAACTCCTTCGCGCAGGACACTGTGACCGCTTCGAAGAGGTCGTCGATACAGTCGTTGCACTTGCCTCGAGTAGCGAGGATGTCTCTGTGTTGTCCTTGGCGAAAGGGAGGAAACGGAAGAGAAAGGAGCAGATGAAGGCCAGGGCTAAGGCTAGGATTGTTGAGGATAGTGCTACTGCTGTTGGTGCTGGGATGGCAGCTAAGGGAAATGGAGAGAATAGTGATTTGGTGGATGAACAGACTGAGGATGGGGTTGGGGTTGATAATACTGAAGAGGAAGACAGTGCTGGCGGGGATGCGTTTCCGGATATCCGCATCCCGCAATTTGTCGTGGTGGAGGGTGTCAAGATGCTGCATGAAGCGTTGCATGAGGTATTTGTTGTGGAAGGAGGAGATGCAGAGACGGATTCTACTCCCACCGCCACAACTACTGGTGGAAATGATAGCGGAATTGGCAATGGAGAAACGAGCGACCAACAGGAGACATCATTATCATCATCATCACCATCATCATCATCATCACCATCACCATCATCATCATCATCATCATCATCATCATCATCATCATCATCATCATCATCATCATCATCATCATCATCATCATCATCATCATCATCATCAGCAGCAGCAGCAGCAGCAGCAGCAGCAGCAGCGACAACAACATCAACTACGATTTCATCATCAAACCAAAATGGTATCTTTAATACCAATGGCACCACAGCATCCTCCAAAAAGCTGCCGCCTCCTTCACTGAAAACAGACAGCAAGAGTGGTGAATCCAAGTTCACCGCTAAGAACAAGTTACAAGAGAACGGCGACGGGAAGCCTGAGAAGAGGGTGAAGAAAGCGTGAAATTGAGTGGGACATGTCAGGGGGCGGTGATAAAAACACTGATATATTTTTTTTTTAGCTTTCCATGTTTTATTACCCCCCTGACCCCTTTTTATACCCTGACCATATCCCCTCCAGACACGAGGTATTCGACTTAACTTACCTGCCTTGCCAACTCCGCAGGTCGTGTTTTCTCGTCTTCTGCTCCGCCTTGACCGGGAACACTTTACCCCTTCTCCAACCAGATTCACGGAAATACAGAGGCCGAGGGACGGATAGGTGGATTCATGGATGGGTGGATGGATGGGATCTTTTATCCTCACATTTTTCTCCCCTGCCTTTTCCCTCTCTATGTTTTTCCATCTTTCTTTTTTCATTTTTACTTTATATAGACGACACTACATACTCGCATATCAACATATGCTTTGTTAGCCGGGTATCTACTGCCTGTATACTATGTTCATTTCGTTTCTTTTATCGGCACCCACCCTCCGCCTCCATTGTCCATTTTAGCGCCGTTCGTAAACAGCATGCGAGGAAGCTACAAGAAGTTCATGGGAGTTATCGCATTTGGGAGCGGGAAAAAGGGGGCCGGTAAATCTGAGCTCTATTTGTTTGTCTGCTATCCCCTCTCTTCAACTATTTCCCTATTCTTGTCTATTCCTCTTACTTTTCTTTTCCTTTTCCTTTTCCCCGCCATGGCCTTTCGACCTTTCTTCTCTGTACAAATCTAACTTATAAGAACCCATTTCTGTTTCCGCTGGCTACTCTCTCTTTCCTTTCGTCCCCCCCAAATCCCTCCTCCTAAATGTCCATCTCGCAAGGAAAAGTCACGTCTAGGATCTCCTTCTCCGCCTTATAACATCAGCATCCAGCTCCTTCTTCGACGAAAGAAAGATTTTAAATAGATTCTAATACGTACGTCAAATTGTGCTGAATATACGATTATATCTAGCTCTCAATTTTCGAGATTGTGTTCGCCTTCACACCATCTTCAACGTTCCAGACCAAGTCTCTTTATCCTGCACCGAGGGATAACGATTAGTTTATAAATATGCGCAGCTTTTTCTCAATGGTGCTATATTTTGACATACACTAATAACTACAGATCCCTTGCATGTGAAACGGCGCCAGCCAGCTCATGAAATGTTAAAATTAGCTGACCTGACACCAAATAAAAGATAAAGGATGGATAAGCCTCAATTTCGATATATAGATATAAGTGATAACTGCTTACCTCGTTGTCTGTGCAGAGAGAGTATTTCCAGGGTTGCTAACGATGCTGCACAGTTGTTCGATATAAGGGGGCTAAGGCTGATTTATAACTACGCACGCTAAATTCGATTGGGGTTGATTGATACTGACAGTAATAAACTAACCGTGCCACGCGCACTCACCATTAGTGAGTGCGCCCCACTGTAAAGAAAATATCACTGTAATGAAAATCTCTTTCTTGTATATTCATTACCAATCTTCAAAAATTAATAACCATCACCACCATGCCTAATAATATTAAATATTCAGAAGATCAGATTCAGATGACATTAGACATCATAAAATCAAAATCAAATTTAAAAATCACAAATGTGGTGTGAGAATTTAAAATTATATATAGAACTCTGTATGAAAGCATTAAGAGAAAGAGATTAATAAATTTTATCTTACTGAAGAGTTTCTTCAATATTGTGACTTTTATAATATCATTATATTTGAATTCTCATCTCATATAAGTCATCTTGCAATCTTTTGATGATATGTCTTTTTAGCAATATAAGTATTATCATACAAAAGTAATTAATGAAGTTGCTTGATACAGATATATACAATATAATGAGAGATAATTTCTTACTAATCTAGAGAGTATCTATTATCAAATCTTCAAACCTATTATCATTAGAGATGAATTTATCAATCATGAGATTTATTCAATCAAATAAAAAGTAATTCTTCAATATCTAAGATAATATAATATAGATGATAGCTCAAAGCTGCTTATTTATGATAATGATGATGAAGAATACTTCAATTTTACTTTATCTTCTGAGATTTAATTCTTCATCATATTTTTTCAATTGACACTCTCAGATACAGTTATAAACTATATTATCAAATCAAAACAGCAGATAAAATCATATAAAAGATGAAAATTATTTTGACATCTGATCTAATCTGATGATTGAATAAGATCTTCAAGAAGAATCTGATACAGACAAAATTGGATGCATATTGAGAGAATGAGTTATCTGCTCATTACTTGATAAATAGACATTAAATTGTTAAAAAACAGCCACAGACAAGTGCAGGTAGAAGAGGTCCTCATTATCAAAGATGTCAATCACAAGATCAAGCATTGTAAGGAAGAGAAATCAATAAAAGAGAGAAATAGAGTTCTACAGTCAATTGGAATCAAAGTCTTCAAATCAAATGCTAATTAATTACAACATGGTGTTATTAATGAATCTCAATCTATCAGAGATTCTACACACTCTAATGAGTATATAGATAATCTTTATATTATAGATAGGCATGGTGTTGACCATTAATTAATTTTTGAAGATTGGTGATCCTAGAAGATTTTCATTATGGTGATATTTCCTTTACAGTGGGGCATACTCACTAATGGTGAGTGCGCGTGGCACGGTTAATCTGTACCTAAGGAGCAAGCATCGAAGTAACAAGGGAAAAGGGCCATGCGACATCTCAAACAAGATATACCAGAACAGTGTTCCGACAATTGCAAAAAAAGGATCGTGGCTATATAGCATGAAAATCCAGCTAGATGACGTGAACCAAAAGGGGTTAGGAGTACTGATCTCGGGAGAAGCAAATCTCAGTCTCCCAATCTCTCCGCCCCCCTTTTTCACTTTCCAAGTTGCTGAGCGTTTTAGCCCCATCTGTTTTGCATTGATTCAATTACTCCCCGGAATATTTTAAAACGGCGTAAAATAAAACTTAAGAAAAGGCAATACTCTGTATTTAATTCAAGCTGAGAGAACTAGATACACAGTAAGTTTAGCAACAAAAAAGAAACGTATCTCATCCATCCTATTCCATCCCACCCATCATCGATCGAATCATCAAACTCTTTAATCTTTAGGGAGGAAAAATAAAACAAAACCCAAACTTGAAAATTTTGAAATGCTCGCAGGGGCAAGAAGAGGAATAGGGCTTTAAGATGGAAAACAAAAAGGGGTGGGCGAATGGGGAGGCAGTTGTACACAAGTTCTGTTAGAGTTAGAGGGGCAAAAGTCGAGGAGCATAGGGATTATCATCAACAAGAACCAAATCTAACTGACTAAAATGGAAAAGAGAAAGGCCACACCACCCAAACTAATCCTTTTTAATCATAGAGGCTATCGTCATTCCCCGCATCCCCAAACCCATTCTGACCCGCATTATCACCCGCCTCCTCGGCTGCCGGGAAGCGGAAAAAGTTGCTCCCGCTCGAGTTCTTCATGCTCTGCGCGAAAGCCTCATATCTCCTAATCTCCACGTCACTCACAGACCGACGGGCCATCTGCATCGCCTCCTCAAAGTGTGCACGAGTGAGTTCTGGCACGGGATCCTCAGCATCAATATCCTCTTCCATCTTAACGTCATCGCCGGCAGCTTCACGCTCCTTAGCACGCTCGATGTCGAGTGCGATGGATTGCTTGATGGCCAATTTTACAGCACGTTGGGTAACGAATCCCAGATCAGCGCCGGAGAAGCCGTGGGTTTTGCTAGCGATGAATTTGAGGTCGACGTCTGCGGCGACCGGGGTTTTGCGAAGTTGGGCTTTGAGGATGTCGACGCGCTCTTCTTCGTTAGGGAGGGGCACGTAGACTAGGGTGTCCAAACGGCCGGGTCGGCAGAGAGCATTGTCGAGCTGCTCGGGACGGTTGGTGGCACCAATGACGAAGACGTTTTTCTTGGAGGTCATGCCGTCCATTTCTAGATGGAGAATGTTAGGGGTATAATTTAGTGGAGTAGCAGGCATTGGATTAATTACGTACCGGTCAAAAGCTGGTTGACGACACGATCAGAAGCACCACCAGCATCACCAACAGATCCACCTCGAGACTTGGCAATGGAGTCCAACTCATCCAAGAAGACAACACATGGGGCAGCCGCACGGGCCTTGTCGAAGATATCACGAATGTTGCTCTCAGATTCACCAAACCACATGCTCAGCAGTTCGGGACCCTTGACAGAGATGAAATTGGCTGCACATTCGTTCGCAACAGCTTTTGCAAGCAGCGTCTTACCGGTACCAGGAGGGCCATAGAACAAAACGCCCTTGGATGGCGAAAGGCCAAACTTGAGGAATTTCTCCGGATGATCGACGGGATACTGGACGCTCTCGATTAGCTCGCGCTTAACCTCGTGTAGACCTCCGATATCATCCCAGCGGACGTTGGGGACCTCGACAACTGCAACCTCGCGGAGAGCAGATGGGTTGGAGACACCAAGGGCAAAGCGGAAGTTTTCCATGGTGACTCCCAGGGAGTCAAGGACCTCTGCATCGATAGTATCTTCATCCAGATCAATAAGATCCATTTTCTCACGGATCTGCTGCATAGCAGCTTCAGAGCACAGAGATGCGATATCCGAACCGACATAACCGTGGGTCTCAGCAGCAATAGATTCCAAATCCACATCTTCAGCAAGTTTCATGTTCTTCGTGTGGATTTGAAGAATCTCAAGACGACCAGTAGGATCAGGGATACCGATATCGACCTCACGGTCAAAACGACCGAAACGGCGGAGAGCAGGGTCGACGGAGTTGGGTCGATTGGTAGCGGCCATGACGACGACGTTGGAGCGGGCCTTCATGCCATCCATCAATGTCAGAAGCTGCGAGACAACACGGCGTTCAACTTCTCCGTTGGTCTTGTCACGCTTGGGAGCAATAGAGTCGATCTCATCGATGAAGATGATAGCGGGAGAGTTCTTCTCAGCTTCTTCGAATGCCTTTCGTAGGTTTGATTCGGATTCACCAGCCATCTTGGACATGATTTCAGGTCCATTGATCAGGAAGAAGAAGGCGCCGGTTTCATTGGCAACGGCACGAGCCATCAGGGTCTTGCCGGTACCAGGGGGACCAAACATGAGGATACCACGAGGAGGCTTGATACCGATAGATTTGAAAAGTTGAGGGTGGCGAAGGGGGAGCTCAACCAGTTCACGAATCTGAGCCATCTGCTTCCGGCAGCCCCCAATATCGTCATAGCCAACATCGTTAAGGTTACCTTCCTCGTCCTCACGCTGGATGGGTTCACCCTCGCAGTGGATGACCGTATCTTGGGCAACAATACCGTATTCTGGGGGATCCACTTCGACCACCTTGAACTCGACTTGGCGCATACTAGCTCGTACGGTGAAAAGGTCACCCTGTCGAACAGGTCGATAGGCCTCACGGAAATATGGGGCCAGGAAAACGTCAAACAGGGAGCCGGTGAGGCCTTCGACGGTGTCTGCGATGGGCAGGACTGCAATCCGTTTCGCCTGTTTCCATGTGTAACGTAAGTTATCGTGTCTTTGTACGTAGTAACGTCATGTTTTGGAGATCTGAAAAACTTACGTATTTAATATCGGGACATGGGTGGACTGTGATGACATCGCCATGTTTAACCCGCAGGTTGTGTCTGACGACACGGTTTATGCGAGCACTCCCATCATCCAGATCGTCATCAGCCAGGACAATCAGGACAGTATCTCTTCGCATTTTGCCTTTGACGAGGACGGTATCACCACGGAACAGCTGGAGAGTCTCCATAGTGTTGTTGGAGAGGGCAATGATGGAATTGTCATCGTTAACGGCGTCAGTGACCCTGTTGGCCAAACAAATCAGTATGATATATACCTTACAATGACTTTAGTTTTCCTAGGTTGTTAGCAGCGTAGCAAAAAATGAAAATACTCACATCAAGGTATTTGGCTTCTTTTTCTTTTTGAGGATGGCTGTTGCTGTGTCGAGGTCCTGGAGGGATAGCTGTTAGCGCCGCCAGCCTCCGCAACCAAGTTACTGAACAGCTAGCTGAAAATGCGCTCACCTCATGTTTTTCGGCACCTGAAGGATCGCTAGAAAGGGCTGTTAGCACTTACTGCAGCCGCAATCAACTAAGAAGCAAGCATAAACCAGGTGTGGAGCAAGAGATACTCACGTCAGGTTGACCTTGTGCTTCGAGTGATCTGGCTCTGCAGACATGTTGGAAGGGCGAAAAAGAAGAAAGCGGAAGTCAGGAAAATGTGAGGGAGGGAGATTATGAGATAGGGCAGGTGTGTAGAGAGAGAAAAAAGTAGATCAAAAGGGTTGTTGTAGAGGGGGAGGTTGGAGGGTGTTGTGAAAGCGTTGTAAGAAGAGGTTGAAGGGTTTGGATGGATGTTGAGTGAGGCTAGAGCTATGGGAAACTCGGAAGAAAGATATGACGATCCAGGCACCCGCTTGTATGTCGAGTGGGTAGATGCAGAAAAGACCACGTCAGAAACAACATAAGTACATCACAATGAAAAGGGAGATGGGAGTAGAGATGAAGACCGAGAGGACAGGTATTTAGAGAGGAAGACCAAGAAGATAGAAACCGGTAGAAGATAACAGACACGAATATATGACAACCACCCGAGAATGTGTTTCTTTCCGCTCGGGCTGACTTTTCTGGTGGTTGGTTTGTTCGTTTGCCAAGCTGCCCTCTGCTTAGTCAAATGTGACTGATTTAACTACGTGATCCAGCTGCCTGCTGTCAGCCAATCAGAGACTGCCGTCATACGAGGAACCCATTGGAAGACACTAGAACAAACAAGGAAGTCACGTGCATTGTAGACATGAAGGTCCAATGGAATCGAAATGAGGATTTAAGGGGACCAAGCAAGGTATAAGTGGGAGAGATAAAGGTTGGGGAGACCGGGAGGGAATGATAATTGTTGATATTGTTTCATTTGGCGCATTTGCAACTAGCTATGTGATGAAGCTTAAGCTAACTAACTTTCTCGTAACAGTTTCTTTATCCACATCCCTGAGATGCTTCATGCGTATTCTAGCCAGTTGCTATCAGACAGTTTTTCCAACAAAGACTCTCAATATGGGCCTGTTTGTTTCCATTGGAGGATTTGGGATCCAAATCCTCTTTCATTCCTATTGTCTTCACTTGTCGAGCATATGCCGTTTTGTGTCCGATGCAGTCGACATATCTTGCCGTTATGGGAAATGGACACACGGGGATGACTCTTAGGATGATGCTCTAACCTGATGACCTGGGATAATTATGATATTTTGAGTCTTTTTCTTCAATGTTATTTTCTTTGCCTTTCTTCTATGGGAAAGCAACAGCTTCTCTATCCTACCATGACTGAATCAAGTCATGGAGAGCAACATTGGGGCGGTTCAGGGGGAACTCCTTCCAGTTACTTGTGTCCTGCATCAAACCGTCCATATGACCTGGGAAATACCCAGTGCCATTTCTAAGAGTCAGCGGTGGTTCGCTATCTACCTTTTGCGCCTTAGTAACAATGCCCAGTGTCTTCATTGGAATGGGAAGAAATGGGAAGAAATATCACAGGAGAATAAAGGGGGTAAACCCTCGACTTTGGATTTACGCTATGGAGAGCTCGTATTTCCATTTATCTTCTCTTCTCTTCTCTTTTCTTTTTTTCTTTAACAATCTCAATTCCCCTCTCGCACGCGGAAGGTTCTCTCAAGGGGAAAAGGGGGTTTACAGCCTCGACCTTGAAATTGGCGGTGGAAAACCCGACTTCCACGATCTTCTTATTTCTTTCACGCGACAAAATATGCCTATCTGGTTTACATGTATCTTCACTGATATATGTATTCCAAGAAGCCTCGAAGTTTTCAAGAACTTTAAGGTTATTCTCAACCAGATACCCCGTGCCGTTTCCTATGTCCTGAAACGGACCAGAGCTATGACATTTTCAGGGAACCTAAGACAACAAGTCTCCGCATATGAAAATACTCCCCTTTTGGTCTCGTCGTCTTCCCTGTCTATAATTTACACTCCCTCCTACCTCCGTGCGGTAGCCGACAAGTTCGCCCCTGACAAGTTCAAAACAAGCCTACGAAAAGGCGACCCAATCTTCCTCGTCGGTCCCGCCATGATTCCCAATGTGCTAAATTACATTATCGATGCTCAGGCGTCCTTCGATATCACCGGGGACATGACCCCAGCAAACTTGGCTAACTACACTCTGCAATGCGAAAAAGTCTCGAACACAATTCTAGACACACCGTCCTTGGTGTCCGTGTCAAACTCCTCAGGGTCAGGGCAGGAACACCAGAAGCAGCGACAGTCAACACTGTCACAGGCCTCGCTATCTTCAATCTATCCCACAAGGAGCGAACCAGCCTCCTCACGTTCGAAACAACGCCGTTCAAACACCCTAAACCCGTCAGCATTACCATCCGCCTCTCCAACGGCAAATACAAAACCGTGGACGCAGGCGCTTTCGTCGAGACAAAGATGCCAGACACATACACCTGCCCTTTCAATCCCCCCTACCCCTCCGACATCGACCCACTTTTACCCGGGAACATGCTCACACGCCCCCACAACGTATGGGATGTTGCACCCTTCCTAAAATCACCACTGTACACGCAGGCTACTAGGATGTTCGAGAAGTGGGACGAGGAGCATGGGGATGATCATTGGGACAAGGATTGGGCGATGGATGGGTCTGACCAAGTTGGAGGAGTTACAGGTGGTGAGGGGGTGGAGGTGGAGGGAGTTGATGGAGATGAAATTGAGGTGCACGGGGGCCGGGAAGGGGAGGGAGGTGGATGGGGGATAATGAGTGGCGGAGCAGGGCCGAGCATGGATATGGGTGGAGGGGCGAGGGTCGCGATGGAGTAATTTGAGGACAGGATTCCGGGGAGTATTTTGGAGGTTCTTAAATGAAAAGGGGGTGAGATTTGAGGGTGGTGATTCTTTTTTCATTTTTCTTCTTTTAGGATTTAAAGATTGGCCGCTGGCGGTTTCATTTTATCTTTTCAGTTTTATATCCTCTTCTGTGTGCTTCGGAGAGTTACTCGTTCCTATGATAAAAGATATGTTCAAGCATAGTCAAGGTCTTACAATTGATAGATCATGGTTCGAAGAACTTGGGAAGTCTTGTAGCTCACTACCTTCTGATATTCGCTCTCCTTGAGGTCAAGGCGACCCAACCCAAATCGGCGTACTGTTTTAAGGGGAAAGCCGTCCTCAGTCGTAGACAGAGCAAGGCTAGAGATCTATCCTTTGCACGATATTCTCTCGACTGCTTCCTAAGTATGTAAATTGTTTCACAGGCTCCGCGCCAGCCTTCCAACGACAAATCAACACGTAGAATCAAAGGACTGGCGGAGCAAGAAATATGAGTCGTAGGTTCTCTGCACAAAGTCAGCGATTGTTATATAAATTGACAATCAATCTGAAGCTAATCAAAGCCCAACAAACCCGCATCAATCGTAAGAGGAAAAAGCTTGCTTGCGTCAGCCCGTGGTAGAAACCCACTGGTACTTCCAGTATCAAAGACATTGTTTTTGAATATTAAAACCCCTTTAGCTGAAAACCAAGATATTAGCCCACATAACTAAGTAGCCGGCTCTGCATTTTGTAAAAGGACCAGGAAAATCTACCAATGCAGATACTAGCACGACGACAGCGAGGATGACAGAGTATTTAAGGTAGGTAGAGGGAACCAATGGTGGCAGGGGAAATCCAACTTGCGTGGACTTCCCAAGCTTCCCCTACAAGATCAGAGAGAATGCTCTACGAAACAACCCCCTCCAGGTCAAGATGATGTGTAGAACACAGATCAGATTCATTTATGTTCATTTTGTATAATGGTTTATCGCCCCTTCAATGCTATCGACAAACATGACAACAGCCCGCAACGGCACATCAATTCTTTCCTTTTACAGGACAACAGCCGCAGATGTGAGTGTCTTCCACAGTGCAGACGGGACACAGCTTCAAGTGGAGGTTTTGATGATAAGAGGAATGCACGTGTCAAGAACAAGCTGGCACTTCGTGAGAGATTGACATGGGATGTATTTCACAAAGGTTTCCTCTCCATCATCCATCTACTGAAGCCTGTGGGGATGCTGTAGTATTGGTCTGAAGCTGCATCTGCTCCGTGTCGGATGGGTGGGCAAAATGACCCATTCGACAGATATCTACATCAGCTTAGAAAAGTTAAGTGGAAGGATTTAACATCTTTTCGAGAGGAGCCCAGAGATGGGAGGTGGTCTTCAAAAATTGTTTCATACTAGCTAATATAACTGGGTCACTGCTCGGAGAGGAGGATTTGTGGTGAGCCATTGGGTGAACAGCAAAGAACGAGGGAAAAGAGAAGGGATCATGACGAGTGAGATTTATAGAATGCTATTATGTTCCATGAAATACCCAAGACATCGGAAGAATTGAAAAAGGTCAATATGCTGGGTCAAACCACGTATGCCTAAAAATATAAAAAAAAAAAAAAAAGGGAAAAAGAAAAGAAAAGAGAAGAGAAGAGAAGAGAAGAGAAGAGAAGAGAAGAGAAGAGAAGAAAAGAAAAGAGAAGGGAAAGATAAATATAAACAAAAAAAATAAAATAAAATAAAAAAATTGCTGTCAAGGGAATTTGTTGTAAAAGTCCCACCAATTGACGAAAAGCTGATAGGTAAACTATGCCAATTTAACGCCAAAACTAAAGTATGCCATGCGCCAGCCCAGGATAACTCTGTTGCCACACCGCCCCTTACCGTGGTCACTCCAGTAAAAGGCTTGGAGGGGGCAGGAACTGGGTTGGAATTTCGATCCCCAGGAAATACCAAACAAGCGGAAAGTATGGAAGCAGAAAATATGGAGGGGAGAAAGGGGAAAATTAGAAGAGGGAGGGGGGAAAAAGGTCACTCCAGTTCATATATATGAGACGGAGACGAAGGCGAAGGCGGAGGAGGAGTTAGAGTAAACCGAACAGCAGCTCGCTTGGCAGCATAGGCCTTTGCTTGTGCTGGCTGGCATTCTGTGGAATCCATCTCTGCGGCTTGTGGTATGGGCACCGTCTGGTCAGACCCGCCTTCTGCTCTGGTTGGGCAGATAGGGCAGTGGTTGCAACAGGTATGCGGCGTCGTCAGATAATGCATGGGTCCGCCAACGTAGTTATGCATATTGGGATCGGTTTTGGAGCCGGAGGGATGTACCGTGCTCGGGAAACGTGTCGGGGTACTTCCGGACGAAAGCGTTGTGGGGGAAACGGGGCTTGGAGGCAACGTGATGCATGGCGTGTATGGAGCCTCCCCCGAATACACCTGGTTGGAATATAAAGAATGCAGCTGTAGAGCTAGCGCCGGATATGCCTTTTCATAGATTGTCTCCTCCCTCTTGCCCTTCAGCAGATCAGCCTTCACAACAAGTCGCTCAACCAACACCGCATGAGCCTCCTTCAGTGTCTTCCTAACAAAACCGGCAGCGAAGATATTGCATCGCATATCGACGTCTTCTCTGAGATATAGTCCTTCTCGGGGCACATTGGGCAGACCCAGCTCGACAGGCTCCCGCGGCTCTCCTGGCATATTTCCGTTCACGCTCCATCTGTTCCTAATATCCAGACCTGTTGGGGCGTATATGTGCGTTTGCAGGCCACGTGGTAAATCGTGAAAGCAGGCTTTGTAGGTGATATTGCCCTTTATTATCCCCCCCGGGAGATACTGAATGTTATCAGTCAGTTCGTACCAGATGCAATGGAACTCGTCGGGCGGGGCGTTGGGTGGCGCTTTGCATCGTTTGTGGCTGACCACCAATGGGTTCAATTCTATTATCTCGCTGTGGGCGTGGAGTGTGCTGATGACAATATCTCGAGGGATATGGGGAGGGAGAGGTGTCACGGTCGTGAAGACGACCCGTTTGAACATTGTTCTTTTTTTTCTTTTTTCTTTTTTTCTTTTTTTTCTTCTTCTTCTTCTTTTTTTTTTTTTTTTTTTTTATAAAAAATATTCGGAATGCCTTGTGGCGGCTGACCAGCCTCTTCAGAGCTCAAAAGAAGTAACCGTCGCTATCAGAACGGAGTATGATTCCAACAGATATCATCCAAACAGTCACACCTTGAGGGTTGTCTGAGTTGAGGGAAAAGGAAAGAAAATAAAAATCAATGAGAATACGATTCAATCGGCCGCGATAGACGCGGGGAGGCGAAGATGTATGGTACTGGGGCTGAGAATGTTTTTCTAGAACTTCCAATGGGGTGATGGGTTCGGCAGTTTTCGGTCGAAACCGCCCAGGTGGCAGGCGGATTGAAGGCAAAGTCAAAAAAGCTACCAAAGTTTTGAAGAAAAATTAACAGACGTAATTATGT